CACACACACACACACACACACACACACACACACACACACACACACACGAACAAACAAAAAACCAACCAAACCAAAAAAAAAAACCAAAAACCCAAAAACATACTTTATTTCTGTGTGTTTTTTGTTTGTTTATTTCAAGACGGAGTTTCTCTGTGTAGTCTTAGCTGTCCTGGACTCACTTTGTAGACTAGGCTGGCCTTGAACTCACAGAGATCTGCCTGCCTCTGCCTCCCTGAGTGCTGGGATCACAGGCGTGCACCGCTGTGACCTGCTTATTTCTGTGTTTTTTTTTTAAGAAACCAAATTCCCAAATTCTCACCACACTACACTTTTCTACTCTATGACTGCATGACAGCTTAGCCACATGCAATGTTGAAAGCAGCCTAATGATTCCAAGAGATGCATGATCTTTTCACAGATTGTTTAGCCTATTTTAGCCCCATTTTTCAACATCCATAAGAAAGAGGTCAACAACTTTATTACAGCGTTTTTCTTGGAAGCAGAACAGAAAGTTCAGCAGGCGCCCAAGTCCCCACTGTCCTCTAGGGTTCAGCAACCCCACAGGTGCCTCCTCCCTCAGGCTCTCCGCTTTCGTGGAGGCTGCATCCTGAGAAACAAATCAGAGCAATTTTCTTCCCTCAGGTGGCATGAGGCAGCGTTTGCACCGTGAGGCATCACAAGCACCGAGCTGTTTCCTAACTGTTCCCTCGTGCCTCAGTCTCACAGGTGGGCCTGCTCTCCTCACACACTCCCCAAAGGGAAGGTCCTGACATCTTACTCATCTCTCATCATGCCATACCATCCTCATTCCTTCAGCATGTGCTCCTGCATATGGCAGAGGGGATCAGCCAGTCTAATGTCACAGAACCTGCTTCTCCTGAGCGTACCCCGTAGCATACTCAGGGAATCAACGTCTTGATTGCGGCCACTATTCTATACTATTAACTGAACCTTTGCCCTTAATTGCCAAGGCCTCGGGTCTGGGCCCATTGTTTCTCTTGATTGTATGCTTTCATCCTGGGGTCCAGGTGTAAGTGCCTAAGAGTTCCTGGAACTGTCTTTCAGTTAATCAATAAACTTAAATTTGTTGTTGTTGTTCTTGGTGCAAATAGGAAAGCACAAGGGGGGTTGTTTGTTTGTTTGAGACAGGGTTTCTCTGTGTAGCTTTGGCTGTTCTGGACTCACTCTGTAGACCAGGCTGGCCTCAAACTCACAGAGATCTGCCTGCATCTGCCTCCTGAGTGTTTGAGTTCAAACCCAGGATCTCATGCAGGCTTGTCAAGCACTGCCAACTGAGTTTGCAACCTTGTGTCCTCTGCTTGAGAGGACAGCGTGTCAGATTTGGAGCCTGCTCTGATCCAGTATCACACTCTGAATTTAAGAGCTCGCTCCATCTACAAAACAATTTCCCACATGTGCATGAAACTACAAACTCAGAATAACTGGGGGCCGAAGCGGAGTGCAGACAGGCACTAGTCTTACAAGGTCCTTTTCAATTGCAGAAACATGGTTTCTGGGGTCCAGAACCATGACAGCTTCCTCAAAAGGGAAGCAGGTGCCTAGCTAGCAAGGCTGGCTGGACACCAGCCAGGGTCACTTACAAGGCCTTGTCTTAGGGCAGGGAAGTGGCCCCAGACCCAGCAGCTGCCTCTCCCTTGGCCAGGGCCACTGAGGGCATTGCTCAGGGCATTGTGGGTAAATGGATGACAGTCTTTAAGAACCAGCTTCAACATGATAGGGACACTGTACCATACCACACCACACACCAGGAATAGCGACATGACCCCCTACCCTCTGTAATACAGACTAGAAAGAGGACCACAGCTCTAAGACAGACCACACAGGAGTGATGTGAAACTGTTTCCTCTGAGGTAAAGCCTCAGTCACGGAGGAAAATGCCTTAAGGCACAGGATGTTTTAAGAGGAGGTGAGACATTCCATCCTACAGGGAAGCTTCTTACGCTCAGGAAGTAAACAGCTCAGCAGTTTAAGGAAGTCTCTGAAACGGACCAGATTCACTAGGCCCTTTCCTCTCTAAGCATGTAGAATCCAAACCACTGAGCCAGGGGAACAAGCCAAACTCCCTGACGAGACAGAGTGGCCAAGCTGCGTAGCATACGGATCGGTTGAGCGACCTGGTAAGGACACTGTCGAGTTGAGCTGTCTGCAGGCTGCAGGCTGCACCCCACCTTCTGCAGCTGTGGCCCTGCTGAGGTGCTGCTGCTGCCGTCTTCTGACTCACGTCTGCTCCTGTGAGTTGCCCACCTCATCCCCAGCGGCTTTGGCCCTGGAGCCCTGACCAGGGGCAGCAGGGAACTTAGGTGGAGAATGCACCAGCCACACCTCCTCGGCCTCCAGGGGCCCATCACAGACATCTCAGAGGAAGGGTCTGTGCTGAGCGGGCTCAGGCTGTCATCAATCAGGAAGCAGCAGCTGCAATTGCTAGTTTCTGTACACAGTCACTCATTTGCACAGGCTCCCACAAAGGAAGGCTTTGCCATCCCTTTGAGCCCACTCCCATGGCCCGGGGCACCGGAACCCTTGGCATGGCGGTGCCCATGCACGTCACTCATTCAGGACTTCCTCTGCTTCCTACAGTAGGCCCACCCCCATACTCAGCGGTTCACCCACATGCAATTTTGGATGTGGTTTCTGGTGACACTCTTAATCCCAGTACTGGGGTGCAGGGCAGACAAAGGACAGGACGGCCACTGCAGCTCGCTAACAACCAGCTTCAACCAGTCCGTAAGGGCCTTTGTCTCAAGGGAACAAGGCTGAGAGCAATTCAGTGTCCTCTTCTTGCCTCTGCATGTACACACCACACACACACAAGGACCCAGACACACAGGCACAGAATAAATAAAAAATCTTGTATTTAATGCCATTGATCATCACAATAAATAATTGACAGTAAATGAGCGCATGGAGACAGTTTACAAAGCACGTTGGTGTAGTGACTTGGCTCTTGGCCTGAGACGGTCACCACGTGTGCACTGACAGGCACACACACGTTGTCCTGGGCAGGGAGGAACCGCAGATGAAAAGGACAATGCCTGGGGCAGATGAGTTCTTGGATTTGTTTAACAAGGATTAATATTTTTTTGTTTTGTTTTGTTTTGCAGAAACACCAAAGTGATGTCTTCCACTTTAAAACACCCAATGTTAAACAGAATTGACTTTGTGGCACCCTGGGGGCCCCTCTTCAGCTCAGACGCCCACCTTCTCTGACAGGACTGTCTCTCCCGCCCATCTGCAGCAGGGCCTGATTCCAAAGAGGAATCCGGGATGTGGAAAACAACAGCTTATCCTGCCAGCCCAGGCCGGAAGCCAGGGGTCCTCCTGCCTCATGTGCTCTCTCTGGAAGATGCTCTCCAGCCCCCTTCTCGAACACTCACACCTAGGGGACAGCGGGAAAGTGACACCTGGGAATCACTTCGCTCCCTGCTCTCCCCAGAGCCGCCATGTGGTCCCACCAGGAAGGTGACATGAACATCAGCCACAGTTAGAGAACCTTCTAGAGACCCTTGCTGCACCAGCCGCCCTTCAGGGCTCCGACTGGGGCTTCAGCAGGGAGGCCCTGTGCTCTGGGACCGAGTCTTCAGGGATGTTGTGGGCCTGAGTCCCTGGTTCCTGCTGCAGGAATTTCTCTGCAAAACACACAGGATTTTATCAAGGGCTGAAAATACTACATAAGGCTGGGTCTTACCACTGGATGGGATTCAAGGGATGACAGTTACCCAGGGTCTGGTTCCTAAGAAAGGGTGGACCTGCCTGAGGCAAGGGTCCTGCCCTAGTTCTGGGCTTTCCTGACCCATCCTGTTCCATAGTCATCAAGTTTTGCCTAAGAATATTCCCCGTACTCACCAGCCTCCTCGAGAGTGGTGAAATACTGGAATCCCTTGAGGTCAGCGGCCAACAGTGTGCGCAGCACGGGCACCTAGGGGGTAGACTTGCTTTAGAGCAGGGCAGGGCAGGGCAGGGCAGGCCTGCTCTGCATTGTAGGGTGTGTGGCCTAGCAGGATGGCAGAAATGTTCCCGTGAGAATCTGCTTCAGCTTGAATGGATGGAGGAGGGTAGGCTCTGGGTCCTCCTGCCAGATGTGGTCTCCAGTGACCATAAAAGGATCCTCCTGACGCCCCAAGACAGGACTCCTCTGTGTAATAGAGCCTTGGCTATCCTCGACTTGCTTCATAGACCAGGCTGGCCTTAAACTCAGAGATCAGCCTGCCTCAGCCTCCTGCATGCTGGGACTACAGGTACCTGGAACAATGTCTGTCCCCAGGTGTCACATCAGCCCAGGGCCACAAGGAGGCGACGGACACTGCTCACAAGGTGGCCATGCTCTCCTACCTGTAGGCCGACGAAGGCCAGGGCGACGCCTTGCTTCTGGAAGTCCTCCAGGAGCTCAGCGAGTCCCACAACCACGGTGTAGTCTATGTTGCTGACATGCGTGCACTCCAGGACGGCGTGGCGTGGCGGGGACACTGGGGAGACAGGCCAGGCAAGCATGTGGCTCTCAGCCGTGGACTGCCCAGGCTGTCACCCAGCCAAGGGGCCTGGATGAAGATAACGACCGCCTGGAGAAAGCCACTTCCTTCACAGGTTCCCTGATGTCAACTCCCCACACAGAGGAACAGAGCAAACATAGCCACACTGACAGGCTGAAGGGCGGACCCGGGACTGCTGCCCAACGGGGCCTGTGCCATCTGCGGCGGGCACTATGGAATCATGAAAGCAGGCGAGTGCCTTGCGACCGCAGCGCTGCGCTTGAGGGTGCTGAGGCTGAGGGGAGGCTGCAGGAGCCTGTGCCCACGTCTGGCTGCCCTCACGTACCTTCCAGCGCCCGGGTCGTCATTGCCTCTCGGAGGGCATCAATGGCGGGGAAGTGCAGGCCGCTGGCCGGCTGCAGAACAAGAATTTGCCCGTCTGACACCTGGATGGAGGAGGGCAGGAGTGAACGCTAGAAGCAGACAGGTCAGGACAGTCTTCTGGGCTTTGCTCCCTGCACCAGGAAGCCCTGGTGGACCCGGGTGCATACGGGGGACAGCAGGAGGGGGAGAGGCAGGAGCACCGAAGGTAGCACGGAGGTGGGAGCTGGGCATTTCCACCGACTCTCCCTGCTCTGCGCCTACCTGGGTCCTGGGCCTAGCTGTGGAGTGCAGGAGAATGAGCAGAGACACCAGGGTCCCAGCCAGGATGCCATACTGGACCTCCCAGAAGGACAGCAGAAACGTCCCGCAGAGCGGCAGCAGGTCCAGCCCTAGGACAGGTGTCCGTTCAGGGGTGTCCCCAGTCACAGGGCCCAAAGCACCTCGGAGGAATGTTTGCTTAACAGGAAGAGAAGCTGTGGGCTCTAGCTGGCTCACAGACCAAGGGCAGAGGTAGAGAACAGGGTTCCTGTCTACCAGGATAGGACCTGCCTGGCCCAGTCCCAGTCCTCCAGCCCCTGAGCATATACAGGCATCAGAGGGCTCGTCAGAGAACCCAGGAAAAAGGGACAGAGAGAAAGAGAGCGAGGTGCATGTGTCATGTGCATGCTGTAGTGTCTCCATGTGCGTGTGTGTAGGTGTGTGTGGTGTGTATGTAGGTGTGTGTGTGCTGTGGTATGTGTGGATGGTGTGTGGTATGTCTTGTGACTCCAGGAAACCAGAGGATTTCCTGGCTGAAGTAGTGTCCTGGGCACAGAGCACTGGCCTCAGCCTCGGGATCTACCGCTTGTAAAAGGAACTTTTATTTGCCTGTTTCAATTGTTGTCTGGAGGGTTCTGCCTCCTTCTGCTGGCCTAGGCCTAGTCCTGGAAGCTTCTAGCTCTGTGTGATCTAACCCTGGCCCAGAATGTTTCAGCCTCTGAGGCTCACTGCTGAATAAGCTCATCCTTTCTTCTTCTTACTGAGCTCATAGCTGGCTGGTTCAACTCGGCTGCTCTGGCTCAAACTCCTCTCACACCTGACTGGCTTTTCTCTCAGCCTCTGAAGTACTCAGCTTGCCCTCAAACTAACTCCAGCAATCTGCTCTAATCTCCTGGCTCCTCATTCTCTGGCTTGTTCTGTCTTCACTTGTGTCTAGCTTATTCTCTCAATCAACCTCTCTCTGTAAAACTCTCCTGGTAAAAACTGACTCTCTCTCTCTGTGTTTGTCTCTCTCTCTCTCTCTCATTGTTCCTTAAGTACATTCCCTTTCCTTTCTGTTCTCCTGAGAGTTGGGCATATCCTATTCTGTCAAATCTTTCTCTGATTTCTCTGGTTCACCTTTCTGCCACTCAATTAAACATCACTTTCAAACATGGGTGCTTCCTTCTATAAACTAAATTTCCCTTCATTGTTTGGGATTAAAGTGTGTCCCACCATGCCAGTACCCAAGCTTTTCTTTACCTGAAACTTGCTCTAAACCAGGCTGGCCTTGAACTCAGATCTGCTTGCCTCTGTCTCCTGGATTAAAGGCGTGTCTGTATTCCAGCAGGATCACACAGACCTAGAAGGTCTTTGGATGTGATCTCTTGCCAGAGCAGCCATGCTCTGAATTAACATTCCTCTACAGCCTCTGGTGGGGTAACCTAGACAGGCCCCACCCTCCACGGAGCCACACTTTCCTCTGGAAGCATCTATTGTATCATTACATCCACATACATACACTGATATACTTCAAGGCTGTCCTAAAGATGAAGGTGACATACAGAAGACACAGAACAACTGACCACACCCGCATCTGATAACTGTGGCCAATGAGGAAGAAGGGAACCTAACTTCTGATCTGCAAAAGGAACTCGTGGGACAGGGACCTCAGGTCAGGAGATGGGGAGGCAGATATACCTGGCATGTGAGGCCTGGCAGTCACCCACCCACAGACAAACGAAGGAAGGTGGGAGGAGGGTGAGGATGAGGAGACAGAGTCAGGGAAATCCTGCCTCCATTCAGTAGCTCCAGAGCTTGGCTCAGCTCTGCGTGGACCAAAGCCCATGTCCTCCGAGCAGCTACCTTGAGGTACCATTTCCTAGCTTTCTGTGTGTCCTAAATTCCCCACAATGCCACAGCTGCAGCCCACAGTGGGTCTGCAGGCAGGGAGGGGCAACAAAAGATGCCCTTAGCACTCACAGACGCATTGTCAGAGTTGCCCACTTTGAAAGAGCGCATACATACTCTTGATACGCCAGAGTGTCCGGAAGATCTTGACGTCAAAGAGCGGGGCCACAGCCATGATGATGACGGCGGCCAGGGCAGACTTGGGGATATAGTAGAAGAGTGAAGTCAGGTAGTCCAGAGACAGCAGCACGAGCACGCCTGTGGGGTGACGGTCATCTGGGGGCAGGAACCCACCCGGCACCCATGCACAATGTGGCTCAATTTGACAGATGGAGGAGCCTGGTATCCAGTGAGACAGAACTGTGGGCCTCCACAGACATGGTAGGAATGTCCTATACAGGGAACTGTGCCCCCCCCAATCCCATGGCAGGGTCCCACAGTAAGGAAGGTGCGGGGCTCACCAGTCACCAGGCCCCCTGCCGGGGTGCACACCCCAGACTGGGCATTCACCGCTGTCCTGGAAGGCAACAGGAAGAAACCCATCAGTCCCCAGTGGCTGAGCGGGGAGCTGTCCAGCCTCATCCCGGGGTGACTGTCCAGGGAGGCCTGAGCTGGAGGTGACACCAGGCGGCTGAGCCCCCTCAGTGGGTGACGTGAGTTACAACAGCTGCGGGTGTTTGCGCTCAATCTCCCTGGTGGCCTTTTTTTTTTTTTTTTTTAAACTCCTTTGACAGTTTTATAGATGTTTATCTTGCCACCTGCTCCCGTATTCCTCTCGATCATGTCCCTTCCACTTCCTCTGGGCTCCTTCTTCCCAACATGGCCTACCACCCACACACATTCATGTGTTGTGTTTAATCAAGGCTTCTTGCATGAGCCTGGGTGTGGGGCCCTTACTGCAGCACAGGCAGCTGACCATTGGCCACGCCACTGAAGAAAATGACTTCCTGTTCCCCTGCAGCAACTAGCCACCAACAACTCTTCAGCTAGGGATGGGTGGGCTGTCTTCTTTTCCCTAATACATACTGTTTGCTACTAAGTATGAAAACATCCATCAAAAACCCCAATTTCAGGGCTGGAGAAATGTCTCAGAGGTTAAGAGCACTGGTTGTTCTTTAGAAAGGTCCTGAGTTCAAGTGCCAGCAACCACATGGTGGCCCACAACCATCTACAGTGAGATCTGGTGCTCTCTTCTGGCCTGCTGGCTCACATGCAGGCAGAACACTGCATAAATAATAAATCTGAAAGAGAGAGAGAAAGAAAGAGAGAAAGAGAGAGAAAGGAAGGAAGGAAGGAAAGAAGGAAGGACCCCAATTTCCTAAAGATCTCCCCCCTTCTGGCCCCACACCCTCAGTTCCTACTGAGTACTGCACAGCTCCTCCTTGAGCCTCAGTGGCTCCCCGTCCATCCCCCAGACCACAGGAAAGCTGGCCTCCAAACTCGATTCACTCACAGAGATCCACCTGCCTCTGCTGCCCACGCACGGGAAACAAAGGTGTGCGTCACTATGCCAGGCTCTCTCCTCACTTCCTTTTGGAATTAGCTCAGGGGTACCTGCATGCCCGGAGGACCTGGATGGGCCAGGAGTTTCTATCACTAAATGTAGGGCAGGATGCCAGGAGCTATCCTGAGGTCAGGTGTACCCTGCCTTGCTGTGGACATGATCACAGCTTTCCCAGGGTCTTTAGAATGCTTGGTGGACTAATGGGGAGAGGAAGGAAAATGTCAAATATGGCTAAGGGCGTGGCAGGGGGGAAAGGTTTTTGGACCCTGCTGACCCTAAATGCAGAGAAGAAAGAACATGGCCACTTACCGCCCAAAGCTGCCAGTGACAGGGTAAGAGGAGACGAAGGAGCCTAGCACATTGGTGAGTCCTGGGGAGAGAACAGAGGTTCACCAAGAGGAGCAGGGACATTAGGTTCAAATGCAGAACCACACAGGGGAAGATGGAGGGAAGGACCTGGGACCCCCTCACCCCGAGTTCTTCCAGAAAAAGGAACCAAATCTTTATCACAGTTGTCTACACTGGAGTCTAGCTTTTTAACTCCCCATCTCTAATTCTAGTTTGTTTGTTTTTTTTTGGGGGGGGGGAGCGTTGAGACAGGGTTTCTCTGTATAGCATTGGCTGTCCTGGAACTTGCTCTGTAGACCAGGCTAGCCTAGAACTCCCCGAGTTCTGGGATTAAAGGTGTGTGCTGCCACACCCAGCCCAGGTTTTGCTTTTTGAGGCAAGATCTCAAGTAACCAAGGCTGGCCAGAACCTGAGAATGACTGTGAGCCTGGGAGCTTTCTAGCCCTACGTCCTGAGTGCCGAGGTCACAGGCGCGGGCCACCATGGCCCATCTGTTCTAGGTTTAAAGTAGATGTGGCTCAGGCCTTGCCATGCAAAGCCTTGTGACACCTGAAGGACAGCATCACCTCCCAGCTGGAGAGAGAGCTGAGGAGCAGCTGCTGCGAGTGCCCAGTCAGGCTGAGCTGAGCAATGGTCATTCGAAGGCTTGGTGGACTCACAGAAGAATGAGAAACAGCCTCAAAGACTGGGGATTTCCTAAGTACCAGCCTCTCTTGGTCACAGAGCCAAACAGGCCTTGAGAGTTAAGGGGCCCAGGCAGCTTGGCAGAGACTGGATAGTGACCATGGGCTACACAGGATCACACTGACCCCTGGTCAGCCCAGGTTGGGGACAAGTTTGTATTGGGGTCAATGTCGACAATCCACCAGCCTGCTGCTCCATGACTGCTGAAGACCCACGGTCCATACAGACTGGAGCAGACACCCACATCCACAGACCTTACCCTGACCTTCCTCCATCCTTCACCTTTCTATCTGGGGGTGCCCTGGGGACTCCATTGCCAGCAGGACAGCCATGCTATTACTGACTTGTTTATTATTTGTTGGTACTGGGGAGTGATGTGTATTCCCTCCCCAGCCCAATGCCAGGATCAAGGGCTTCACACACGGAGGCAAATGCTCTACCACTGCGCCATACCACCAGCCTCTGAGCCTGCAGTGTTTGAAGTGGTCAGAAGATGCCGGGGAAAGCCCAGCTGGATGAGCTCTGCTGGACGTGCATGGCGTGCCTGGGTCGCTTCGGCTGGAGGCAGGTTGTCCCACATAAACGGGACCCATTCACAGTTCAGTGAGGAATTGCCTCAAGTCAAACCTTGCCACTGGATTGCTGGATCTTGCCAGCCTCTTAAAGGGAAGCCCTAGCATTTCTAGGCTCACAAGGGCGAGAGGATGGGGCAGGAAAGCCCAGGTCCACAACAAATTAAAAACAGCACCATTATTAAATTAAGATTCTTAGTGTGGGAGCTGGAGAGACGGCTCCGGGGTTAAGAGTACTGACGGTTCTTCCAGAGGACCTGGCTGGGATAATTCCCAGCACCCACATGGCGGCTCACAACTGTGTGTAATTCTAACATCTGACACCCTCACACAGACAGACAGACATGCAGGCAAAACATCAATGTATATAAAATAAAAATAAATAAATTATTTTTAAAAAAATTCTTAGTGTGGGGCTAAAGCAGTGGCTGAGTGGTTAAGAGCACTTGTTGCTCTTGCAGAGGACCTGGGTTCCATTCCTAGCACAAAAAGACTTTCAGTGTTGTTTCAAAACACATCAGTATGTAAGTTTATAGGGACAAAAGAAAGTGCAACTAAGCTGGGCACAGACTGAGCTCTCACTGACCCATGTGTCCCTGCCTGGAGGGAGGTCACACTGGGAAATGATGGAGGTACCGTGCTGGGCCCCCTTATCCCATGTTCTTCCTGGGAAAGGCACTCAGGGGGACCGCCTGGGACTCCACCGGGCTGCACTCTCCAGCTCTCCCGGGGGCACAGGACGAGACTACAGCTTTTAGGCAGGGTACAGCAGGGCTAGGTAGGTAGAGGAACAGACCACAGGGGAGGGCTGCATGGAGCTGACTAGGCACCCGAGAACAAGTCCAACCTGAGATTTCAAAGGCCCTCCCCCCACAAACTCACACCTGAGGCACCTGGCCAGGCCCAGAGGCACTGGGGCCAGGACGGGGTCTTACCGATGGCCAACAGCTCCTGGTTGGCATCAATGCGGTAGTTATTCTGGGACGCTAAAGAGAAAGGACAACAGAAATGCTGTCAATGATGAACACCAGCAAGTTAGGGGTGGTACCAAGTTGTATGGATGAGTTTACACACATAAGACATACACAAGCCGCCGAACACGCTTGATCTAAACTTAAGAATCCTAAAGCAGAAGCTAGAGAGACGGCTCGGTGGTTAGGAGCAGTTGCTGCTCTCACAGAAGACTTCGGTTGGTTCCCAGGACCATGTGGAGGTTCACAACTGTCTATATCGCTAGGTCAAGGGGTCCAGTGCCCTCCCCTGCCTCCACAGGCACAGCACCCATGCAGTGCGCATACATACACACAGGCACTTCTACATACTTGAACTAAGTTAAAATCTGGAGGGGAGGCTGACACAGCTTAGTCCTGTGTGGCCCTATCTGGTCTGGAACTCCCCATGCAGCGCAGGCTTTCCTTGAACACACAGACCTGTCTGCCTCCACCTCTGAGGGCTGGGGTAAAAGTGGCAGGCAGTCTTGCCCAAATAAATAACTACTAAAGGGTGACTCTGTAAAGGAAAAAGCTCTAAAACATTAGGGCAGGAATTCATTCTAGGCACAGCCAGGACCAGGCACACATGTGGAGCTTTGAAACTATTTATTATTTTCGCTGGTGATGGTGTGTGTGTTGCTGAGGGTGGAACCACCACCTTACCCTAGCCAAATGTGGCACCACAGGGCTCCACCCCAAGCCTGCTTACTGGGTTTTAGCCTTGGAATCACTCTATACCCATAACAAGAAGGTCCTGCTGTATTTACAGATCAGATAACTCAGGGCTGGGAGAACGGCTGACCTTGGGAAAATGGAGGGATTTAAGAACCCCACCTTAGAAAGGCAAGACCCTGGAGACATCCCCAGCCAGAGAAAACAAGGGGTCACATTTTCTGGGACTTTCTGAGCTAAGTACTAAAGCTGAAGTTAAAGCCCTGCCATTTCTCCTAGATGTGGGGTTCATTTTAACTCCAGAAAGATCTCTGTGAGTTCAAAGCCAGCCTGTTTAAGCAGCGAGTCAAAGCTACACAGTTTGGCATGGTATCAAAACAAAGAAAGAAAGAAAGAAAGTCCAGTTCCAGGGCGTCTGACACCTTCTTCTGGTCTCTGCAGGCATCTGAACTCATGAACACACACACACAGGTGTGGTGGCATATACCTGTGATCCCAGCACTCTGGGAGGCAGAGGCAGACAGATCGCTGTGAGTTCAAGGCCAGCCTGGTCTACAAAGGGAGTCCAGGACAGCCATGGCTACACAGAAAGACCCTGCCTCCCATAAATAAATAAATAAATACAAGAAAATTACACACGTACACACACCACACTAAATCTTGAAGTTTTTAAAAATTCAACAAATTACACTAAAACCAACAATAGACAGCTCACTGCTTCCTGGTTTGACATATCATTTTTATCAGTGAGGTGGCCAGCGCCTACTGGAAGTTCATCCAACATCACGCTCAGCAAGCCCCCCCCCCCGCCCCACCCATAGGAGCATCCACACCCCAGAAGCCAGCAAAGGCTCCACAGCAGGGCCTCAGGTGCCACGAGGGGCAGGCTGCCAGCATGCTGACACTCCTGGTGGGGCTCCTCACTGCAGAGCCCTTGTCTAGGGCACTCGGTGTCCTTTGCCAGGACCTGGGAGCTGGGAGGGTTTGCCTCCCACAGACCACATTCTCAGAGTGCCTGGGCCATGCTGGCCCCTTTCAGGCCCTGACACCTTCTGGATTTTAGGTTACAGATGTCCATTACTGCTGTCACCAAAACCCCAAATCAGTTCAAAAACATGAGCATGTGGTACTTGTATTAAAATAGTAATTTTAGGGGGCTGGAGAGATGACTCAGAGGTTAGGGTTAGGGTTAGGGTTAAGAGCACTGGCTGTTCTCCCAAAGGTCCCGAGTTCAATTCCCAGCAACCACATGGTGGCTCAGAACCCTCTTTAGTGAGATCTGGCACCCTCTTCTGGCCTGCAGGTGTACATGCAGGCAGAGTATTATATAAATAATAAATAATAAACCTTGAAAAATTATAATTAAAAATATTAGAACAGGCAAAGCAAGAAGCAGTGAACTGGTGGGAGGGGGGAGGGGAGTTACAGGCGGCGGGCATCTCACCAAAAGCTTTGGCCACAGCAATGCTCTCCAGAAGGCCCATCAGAGGCACCACAGCCAGTCCGGCCCCCATGTCCTGAGAGGAGAAGGCCAGTGAGTAATCTCCTTGTGCTCAAGAAGGACCTTGCCACGCAGGGCCCTGCCACAGCAGGATGATTCTTCTCGGTGGCCAGTGGAGGCAAAGGCTGCTCCAGCTACAAGAGTGCAAAGTTATTCTGCAGGGGAAATGCCACCCCCATCAAGAAAAGAGAGAAGCGCTAAGAGGAACCCCACAAATGCCTCCTTTCCCAGTGTCCAAAGAGGAAGCGGTTCCAGGAAGAAAGACAAAAGGGATATCCTGAGGTCGTGTCCTGTTTGGTTATTTCCTCCGCTTTCCTGAGATAACCCTTCTTTAGGACCAGGCCAGGGGCACCTTAGCCTTGGCTATGCTGCTGGCCATCTGCTCACCTGGACCATCTCGGAGAATGAGATGGTCTCATTGTCCGTGGTCACCGAGAAGGGTGGGGCCCGCACGGGAGGGAGCCCCTCAGCTATCTTTCCAGTCAGAATAAAAGGATGGTATCCCATCAACTCGAAGGAGTAGGCAATCAGGGCCGCAAAGGAGACCACCATGGCATTGCGAGCTGGGGTAGAAGGGGGAAGAGATTGGTGAGGCACAGCCTTTTTTTAATTTTGAAGATTTAATTATTTTATTCCATGTGCACGAGTGTTTTACCTGCATTACATGTGTGTGCCATGTGTGTGCCTGGGGCCTGAGGAGGTCTGAGGAGGCTTGAGGAGGTCTGAGGAGGCCTGAGGAGGTCAGAAGATCCCATGGAGCAGTAGTAACAGATACTCCTGAACCACGGTGTGAATACTAGGAGTTAAATCTGGATCTCTGCAAGAGCAAGAAGTGCTCTTAACCACTGAGCCATCTCTCCAGCCCCACCCGAGGGTTCATGTCACGGATAGGGGCCATGAGTGGGTGTGAGCATGTGGCCCGAGCATGTGGCTCTGTGAAGCATAGGACAGTGGGAGGTGACAGAGGCAATGCTTGCCTGTAATCAGGAGTCTGAGGCTAGTTTAGGTATACACAGCAAATACCAGATCAGCCTTGCTATGTGCTGTGCTGCAGGCACAGTGAGAACCTTTCTCTAAAGAAATAAACAGGGAGTTGGCTCTTTTATTTTTTTATCTATCTATCTATCCATCCATCCATCCATCCATTCATTTTGAGGCAGAGTTTCTCTGTGTAGCCCTGGCTGTCCTGGACTCACTCTGTAGACCAGGCTTGTTAGTATTTTGGAACACAACCTGCTTCTGGGTTACCTAGCAACTTATAATGTCGTCATGTGTTGCCACACCTAGAAGACGTGGTTACCTTACCCCTTAAAGGGACAACCCAACCCGACATGTGGTCTCTCTCTCTCTTACTCCCTCTTACTCTTCTCTCTCTCTCTCTCTCTCTCTGAGCGCCCCCTCCCCTTTTTTTCTCTCTCCCCATCATGTCCTGTTCCCCCCTTCCCTCCATACCCACCTAATAAACCTCTTGCATAGAAGATCTGTTGACAGCCTCATCTTTTAATAGATCTAACAAGGCTGGCCTTGAACTCCCAGAGATCCACCTGCCTCTGCCTCCCAGAGTGCTGGGATTATAGGCTTGAGCCACCACACCTGACTGTGAGGGCCTCTTCTAGAAGCAGTGGAGAAAAGGCCACACGCAGACCGGAGTGCACTTCCGATCAAGGCCAGCAGGGGAAAGATCCAAGTCAAGCTGCTGTGTCACCATGAAGTTGTAAAAAAAGCAGCACATTACAAACCCTAAGAGCCGTGCAACACAGCCTCGGGCAAACTCTGGACAGAACTCATGAGCCAATAAAGGCAATCAAATGAAATCATAAAAGTGCTCAATCAAAGAGACAGAAGAACATGACACAACAACAAAAGTGGAGACTCACAGCCCAACACAGTGGAGACCAAACATACAAATACTGTATAATTGTAAACAGCATAAATTCCAACCAGAACAAGGCAGAAACTGCCATAGGGCTTAAAAACAAACCCCATTATCTGACGTCCACAAAAATCTCACCTTATAGAGACACAGAAGAGCAGGGAAAGTTATTTCAAGAAAGAAACAGCAGCGAAAGCCTCACCTTACACGTTCATGGATCTAGTATCAGCTTTATAACATCTGAGACAACCTATAGACAGGAAAACCAACCACAGCCAGACGCCCACATTCCGCCCTCTTTAATTAACAAGTAGGAAAGAAACTGACAAGAATATAGTAGTCTAGGGCTGCAGAGATGCTCGTGGTTAAAGGCACTTGCCACCAAGCCCGAGGACTTGGAGGGTGAGCTCTGGCATGCCAATGGCGGAAGGACAGACAGATTCCTGCAAGTTCTCCTCTGACCTCCAACTTGCTGCCACACCCAGATTTTTAGCTATTGAATTCTAATATTTTTATTTTTTTGTTTTACGAGACAGGGTTGCTCTGTGTAGCCTTGGCTGTCCTGGACTAGCTTTATAGACCAGGCTGGCCTTGAACTCACAGCAATCCACCTGCCTCTGCCACCACACCCAGAAAATGTGGTCAGAAAATATACCTTATTGGTTTAAAACTATTTACATTTAGCAAAGCAATGGTGGCACATGCCGTAAATCCCAGGACTTGGGGGCAGAGGCAGCCGATCTCTGTGAGTTTCAGAGCAATTTTCAGGACAGCCAGGGCTACACAGAGAAACCCTGTCTTGAAATGGCAACAAACAAGACGAAAAACCAAAACCAAAACCAAAAAGCCACAACAAAAAGGTATTCACATTTATTGAGGCTTGAATGCCATTGCACTCCTGGACTCAAAGCAGCCTGGTCACCTGCGCACGGTCAAGCCAGGGGCAATCAGCAAGGATGGGGTGGGAGGGACTCCTGAGACCCCGCCCCAGCTGAGTCTACCAGCAGCTCACACACTGGGAAGGGAGAGTCAACTTTCTCTAGGGGTGTGGCCCTTGGTAGGTTGGTCCCTGGTGGTTGCTGGGAAAGGGAAAGTCCGTCTCCTCTGGAGGAGGGGAGCCATGGAAGTCGTGCCGTGCTCCCGGAGAGGGCACTACACCGCAGTAGAACAGGTGCTAATTAGACTCAGTCAGGGAGCTATTTAAAAAAATATGCCGGGGCGGGGGGGTGGGGGTGGGGATGGAGAGAAGGCTCAGAGGTTAACAGCACTGGCCGCTCTTCCAAAGGTCCTGAGTTCAATTCCCAGCAACCACAGGGTGGCTCACAACTATCTCTACACGGTGAGATCTGGCGCCCTCTTCTGGTGCACAAGCATATATGCAGGCAGAACGCCATATAAATAATCAATCATTTACAAGAATGATGTGGAAAGGGGGTGTGTGCTGGAGGTAGTGCTGGCGAGAGGGAGGAGAGTGGAGAGAGTATGATCAAGACGCATTCTGGTGCTTGCTTCGGCAGCACGCGCACTAAAGCGGTGAGGATACAGAGAAGACTCACAGGACCCTGCGCAAGGATGACACGCAAATTCACAGAGGTCTGTATTTTTAAATGTATGAGAATGCCAAGGAAAATATTAAAACGTTTTAAGGGGTGTGGGCTGGAGAGATGGCTCAGGGGTTAAGAGCACCCTGGCTGCTCTTTCAGAGGACCCAGGTTCAATTCTCAGCACCCACCGGGCAACCAACCACCAACCGTGGCTCCAGTTCTGCGGAATATGACGCCCTCTTCTGGCCTCTGCGGGCACTGCCCGGACATGGCACACAGACATACATGCAGGTGAAACGCCCATACACTTAACTATGTTTTTAAAGTAATGATGAAAAGACAAGACAGCCAGACCCAGCTGGTCTCAGGGGGCCTTATGTGATTTCTCCTGCTGCTGTCTTGAGCAGAGACACCCATCCCACAGAGGCTAGGCCACTGCAGTGACAACCGCAATGACCGCAAACGTCCCGAGCTGGGCAGAGCCATCTGCCTGAAAATGACCTGCAGCCATGCATTGGCTTAGCGGCCGACAGGAAGCCTTTGCCCACAGCAGGTCCGCTCACCTGTCGTGATAGTCCACACCAGCCCACGGCTGAACCTGACACCACAGGGCGTCTCGGGATGGGGAGGAGGCATGCGTTCCCCCATCAGCTTCAGCAGGAGCAGCAGCACCATGCAGGCCAGCCCCAGGACGGCGTCGCCCACCCTGCCAACAGAGGGCACTGACGGGTTAGGGTTTCTCTAGACAGCTCAAGCAGTCCTTGAACTTGTAATCCTCCTGCCTCAGCATCCCCAACGACAGGACCAGACAAAAGGATAGCTCTCAGTGGTAGCTTTTGCTGCAATCTCTCTCCCTGCCCTTTCCACCTTCTGAACACTCTGCCATCTCAGTTCTATTGCAGAACTGCCGTGGCCTCTGAAAGACACACCCCTGTGAGGACTGTGGGGTGAGAGGCCTCATCACCATGGAAACGGGACTATTGGCCCTGTTTTCAGTCACATGTCCTCTGGCATGTAGGTGCTTAGTCTGTTCCCAACAGGTCTGGATGGCATAGTCAGTGACACCCTGCTCAGGGCACTCTCTGTAATGGCTGACTGGCCAGTCTCGCTCCCCCACCTCCACCAGGCAGACAGGAGGCTCCCTGCCACGGGCTGCAGGCCCTGTGGAGCAGCAGCAGACTGCCCTCGGTTTGGGTGGCCCCCAAACACTTTCTGGCTTAAGGAGCAGGCCATCCATCCTGGCTTCCACTGGGCTCCTGGGGTGGCTGTTTAACTCCCTAAAGGAAAGGCAGCCTAGGGGTTTCCCATCTCTCTCCATGGCTCCCTGGCCCTGCCAGCTGCCCCTGCGCTCTGCATCAGCTCCCGGGGCTGGGGCTATGTTCTCGGCCTCACTAGGAACTTTGGGAGTGAGATACCGCCTGGCCTAGAAGGCTGGAGGGAGGCCTTCAATGACTGCCCAGGTCATTGCTAACATGCTGTCGACCCTGGGTCTAGCCTGCTGCAGGGGGGGACAGCACTGCTCCCAGGGGCCATTCGGGGGTGGGAGGGGAGAATGTCCCCAGGGTGGGGCTGGGGCTGGGGCTGGAAGGTCAAAGGGCAGCAGGTACCTGGTGTCTCCGATGTGGACGATGGTGTGGTACAGCTGGAGGAAGAACTGCCGGGGGATGTTCCGGAGTCCCAGCAGGTTCTGTCAGACAGTGCCGGCCAGAGGTCAGCTCCTCATGCACTTCCCCCAGCACCCGCCCCCACGCCGGGAGAAGCCCCCCTCCCCAGGCCTGTGCTGTACCCCCAACCCCCAGGGCCATGCTGCCTCAGGGCTCCCAGGAGACTACCTTCTTATCCCTAGAGGCCCCAAAGGCCAGGGAGTGGAGTTAGCTTAGTGAAAACCAGCTCTCCAGCTGTGCGGTTAGGAGTCCCGACCACACGCTCTGACCACCTGCAGGCACTGGCCTGTCCCTCACTCCCACCCCCAACCAGAAGGGAAAAATCACACCTGCCACGAAGACAAAGGCGGGCAGGCAGGGCTTCAAGGGAGCTGGGTACCGACCGGCTCCAGGGAAAGGGCTCTACAAAAGGTTTTGCCCTTTCTAACTTAGGCCCAGTAAGGGTGTGATAAGCCATGCCCGCCTGACCCCTGTTGGCAACACTGAGGTGTGGGCACTCTGGGCAAGCAGGCAGAGATGGATTCTGGGTGTCAGGGGACTTGTGTCCCGGCCACGACGGCTGCAGGCCATGATCTAATCATGGTTTTAAAAGCTAGGTAGGCAGGACCGCAGAACATGGGTACAGAGAAGGATCTCCCTGCCGGGATTACGTTCACACAAGAGACCATTCGGTTCTCACAAGGGAGGGCAGAAATGAAAACACACTACCCTCACGTCCTAAAATCCAATTACGTTGTTTTCTAAAGATGGATAGGGCCTCCTGGGAAAGAGCCCAGCACTCTGTGACTTGTCCATAGCTCATCCCACTCACCCTAAGTTGTTTGCTTGGTTTTTTTTAAAAAATATTTATTTTTACTTTATGTACATTGGCGTTTCGTCTGCAAGTGTGAGGGGGTCAGATCCCCTAGAACAGGAGTTATATGCGGTGGTTGTGAGCTGCGATGTGGGCGCTGGGAGTTGAACTCGGGTCCTTTAAGGAAGAGCAGACAGTGTTCTTAACCACCGAGCCATCTCTCCAACCCGTTTGCTTGTTTTAAAGTGGACATAAGGACAAGTCTGTCACCGAGAGGTCTGGTGTGTGTTGGGAGTTAGACATAAAAGTGTGGCCTGGTGCCTCGCTGGCGAGCCCCTAGCCTTGGGAAGCACGCCTTGCAGAGCTATGGGGTGGTGACACATGGTGGCGAACCAGTCACGTGGCCCTGAGGATGCCACGAGGGGCCCAAGTCGCCCAGTGCAGGACAGGGCTGAGCCCACTCTGCACAGGCCTGCGTGGACACGTTGCACACAGAGTCCCATCCTCCAGGGCTGGCAGGAGGAAGGAAATCCCGCCCCGGGGAATGAAGACTGGGAGCCTTAGTACTTCCTGTACAGATCTCACAGACTGCTCTAAAAATAAATTAATAAATAAATGAAAGGTTGGTGCGCTTAAAAAATGGTAACGAACAGGGAGAGACCACAGCAGCCAAGCCAAGTATGGAGGCAGACCCGGGAGGTGTCGTGTGCCGGATGCTGGCAGTTGGCTGGCAGCCACAGGTCTCCCGGGGATTCCCAAGACAGGACAGACACAACAGAGCCAGGGTACAGCCACTCACCCTGCCCCAGACCACCCGCTGTGAAACCTGAGCAAGGCTGCACACCTCCCCTAGGAAGGTCATTTCGTGAAGGACCAGCCCAGGTCTACCCCAGGCACGACAGCAGCAGCCACAGGGGCAGAGTCCAGGCCAACACTGTGCCCACCTTGATCTGTCCAAAGCCAATGGTGACGGCAGCAGCAGAAGTGAAGCCTTTAATGACAGGGAAGGAGACGAAGTCCAGCAGGAACCCTGTGCCAAGAGACAGGACTGAGACATCTAACCCCGCAACTTGAGGGGGAGGGTGCGCGCGGCCCAGGAGCCTCGGCAGACTGATGGCTGACATGCTGCTGTGTGTGTGCATGCCTGTGCACCATGTGTGTGCAGGTGTGAACAGAGGCCAGGAGAAGATGCCACATCTCCTAAAACTAGAGTTGCCTTGGTTCCGAGTAGCCCTGTGGCTGCTAGGAACCCAGATCCTCTGCAGGAGTAGTAAGCTCTCAACTGGGGTCATCTCTCCAGCCCCGTTCTTTCGACATTTCTGGAAGGTAAGAAAGGTCTGCGCTCTGGGGCCCCAACACCTCTGCCACCGTGCAGAAAAGAGCAGAGTTGGAGGCTGCCCCACCCCTGTATGCAGCAATGCATAGAAAAGCACCCCAGGAGACCTCTGTACCCCAGGAAAGCAGCCTGAAGCCTCGCCCTGCAGCGGGATGGCGGAGTCTTACCCAAATGCAGGAGCCCCATGGCCAGCTGGATGCAGCCAGACAGGAAGGCAAGCAGCAGGGCATAGGCAGGCTCTCGGAAAGTGTAGAAGGACACCAGGAGGGACATGATGGCCGTGGGGCCCAGGGTCACGTCCCGGGAGGTGCCCAGGAAAAAATACACGAAGCACCCCATGAAGGCAGAGTAGAGGCCGTACTGTTGGGGAGAGACTACAGTGAGCACCAGGAGGCCAGGCTGGGCACCCAAGAGGCCCAGGCTGGTCAACCCAGCACACACCGAGAACACGCCCCTCTCCTTCCGTTAACCACCAAAGGTAGGGGTCCGGCTGTCTGCTGGCAGCTCAGAGGTCTGTGTGTTTATATCTGAGTCTGAGGGAGTGATCGCTTTCAATTCTAACTGTCTGTGCCCAAGTCTTCTGCCTGCAACTATGCGTGGGTGCCATGTGCGTGCAGGTGGCCTCGGAGGCCAGTGCTGGATCCCTGGAGGTACAAGGGGTCCTGGGAACTGAACCCAGGTCCTCTGCAAGACCTGTGCTCTCAACTGCGCAGCCTCCTTTCTAGCCCCGAGTCTTGTGACTGCGTCTTCCCAAAGGCTGGGATGTCTAGATGCGAGCCAGCAGTACCTGGTTTTTCTTAAGGCCACCCTGAGGCATGATCTGGGCCCCAGCTGGAAAATCCAGGACCAGCTTGGCACCGAAAGGCGGTCACATGTTAAGAGATTAGACACAGAGGGGCCGCCTGGGTCGGACGCTCGGACGCTCGGACGGGTGGGACTCCACGGCCGGCGTTTCCGCCTGTGGACAGACACTGAGGACCAGGGAGGGATCAGGCCATGGAGAGGGCACTTCACCTGGGGCGGGAGTCCAGCCACTTCTGCATAGGCCAGCGCCTGGGGGATGACTGTGAGTCCTACGGACAGCCCGGCGATGAGGTCCATCCTCAGCCAGGGCAGAGAGTAGCCAGGCAGCCAGGCCAGGATGGGCAGCCTTCTCCGCAGGGCCGCAGGAGCACAGCAGCAGGTGTCTGGTGCCATGTCCAGGCTGGGGGGTCTGGCCTGACACAGACTTTTCGCAGAGCTGGGCATGAGTGACATGGGACAGCGCTCAGGGGCTGAGCGTGCAGAAAGGTAGCAGGCCCCTCCCAAGGGCATCAGGAGCCGAGTCCCCTCCCAAGGGCATCAGGAGCTGAGTCCCCTCCCAAGGGCATCAGGAGCTGAGTCTGTCTTTTGGGATGGGAGGCTGAGGCAGGTGGCCACCTTCACCAAACTATGGAGACCCGGAAAAGGAAGCCAGCAAGCTGTGCACATGGGCCTGGACCAAGGATTGATTCCCTTCTCTCGGCCACTGCCCCTCAACCTACTGTCCCCAAGCCTCGGTGTCTCTGTCCTACCAACAAAACCTGGCAAACCAGTTCTTCCTGGGATGCCGAAAGACTAAATTTTCACCTCTGAAGGATCCGTTCTTTTCTTTTACCTCCTCCCCAGGGAACCTGTGTGTGACAGCCAGAAGCTGCAGGTCCAGCGGGCTCCGGGCAGTGTGTGGCGGCGGCCCCAGGGGAGCCAAGTTTTACAAGTGTGCACCGCACCACCGCGGAGGCCCACCACGGAGGAAGGGCTCCACCCACTGAGGACCGCAGCTGGAGGAATGGGGGCGGGGGTGGCTCACATCCTTGAAGTCAGAATTTACCCAGCACCCATCTGTGACATTTATAGCCCGGGGTGGGGATGGGGGCCTGAAGGTTCTAGTTTGTTTCCCAAAGACCAAGTAGAACTCCCGAATTAATTCTAGGTGCGCAGCATCCGCTAAGATCCTGGCACGGGGGGGGGGGACACATGGGGACACACACAGGCACAGAGTTTCGCGCGCCCAGCCCTTGATGTGGCACTCTGGACAAAATCCTCTCCTCCCCATCCACACGCCGCCGCTAGCGCGGGATCCCGGGATCCAGTAGGGACCCTGAGGTCCCCTGAGGTCTCAGCGGGGAACACAAGCAAATCCGAGAACTTGGAGTGAGGCTGAGGGCGGCCCGAACGCCAACGGGACACGGCAGCGGGCGGGCCCGGAGTAGGGCGAACCCGGGGACCCAGCGCTAGCCCCGTCCACGGCTCCTGGTGACCCCGGTCCACCCGGCCACGCGATCCCTCTCTCCACTCCACTGACCCAGACTCACCCACCGGACGCGGAGGCTCGGGGTCTCCAGACCTGGCGGGAGCTGCGACCGCAGGAATCTCAGGGACGGAGTGGGCAGGACCCGGGCGGGGCCTACCGTGCACGTGACCGGGGGAGGGGCCGGGCCGGAACCGCCTACCCTGTCCGTCGCCGCCATGCACGGCCTGGGACCGGCCCGCTGCGTACTGCTGTTGGTCCTGGGACTCTGCGGCGCGCGCTCGCGCAACGTGCTGCTGATTGTCGGTGAGTGCCGCCGTCTCCGGCGTCGTCCGCGGCTGCTGCTGCTGCCCCCAGAAGCGGCCACGCGGACCTGGTCCGGGCTGCCCCGTGCGCTCCAGTTCCCTTGCAACCCCGTTGCCATCCCTCCAGTTGCGGGTCTCTGCCTAGTGACTCAACGTAGTGAGACCTCCCGTTCTGCCCTCCCCGGTCCGGTCCAACACGCCCACATCTGTTTCACAGCTGCCAGGGAGACCCCGTGGGCCTTAGCTGCTTATGCTGGGCGGCTTTGCAGAGCTAGGAGGTTCACAGACCCCTGAGAGGGTTCTAGAACAGAGACTGTGAGTCCCTTTTCCTCCTGGCCCAAAGGTACAGTGCTCCATCGCCCACTCAAACTCCCTCAGCCCCTCTTCGAAACCATCAAGTTCCTCCAGCATTCACGAGACTTCCTGTTTGGGTGATCAGTGCCTGCCTTGGGACAGCCCGGGCCTTCTGAGGTCTGGCCCCGGGCCAGGCCCACTCTTTCTGATAAACTCTGCGGTGTCTGGGCAGGCGAGCTGGCTAATTGTAACATAAACAGTGCTGTCTCGGCCACTGCCTCGCATCTCCCGGGACACTAGTGAAGGTCTCAGGGCGCACATCCATCGCGTAGGATTCTGCCGGGCCCTCCGGAGCCCACTCGGTGGCTCCGAGTTTAGGTCCTGTCCCAGCTGGGACATCCTAGACAACAAACACCCAACAGGTCGGGCTGGAGAGATGGCTCAGGGTTAAGAGGACTTGCTGCCTTTCCAGAGAACACAGGTTCAGGCCCCAGCACCCGCATGGCGACTCACAGCGATCTGTAACTGCGGTTCTGGTGCATCTGACGCCGGTTTGGGTCTCTGGGCACTCCAGGCGGTGCACATGCGTGTACATACAGGCAGAATACCCACAAAATAAAGATTAAACACACACTACAGACTACAGGCCAGGTTTTTAACAAGCAAGTGTATTTCTAACAATCCCAGAGTATGGAGAGACTGGACCAGGGAGCCAGCTACTCAGTCTGGTGCTGGGGCGGCCTTCTTGGCTTGTTGATGGCAACCATCTCTTTCCCACCATGACAGAAATGCCACGGTCCTGTTGGATTGGACCCCACCCTCATTTAACCCTTAAACATTGGATACAGATAGTGACAGCATGAGTTTTGGAAGGACACAGTTCAGTCTGTGACAGGGTCATAGGCGGGTGCTGAGACCTGTGTGTGCACAAGTAGCTCCTGGCCTGCAGCAGAAGGCACACCTGGCACAACGCTCCTCCTGTCCTCCCGCCTGTCCTCCCACCTGTCCTCCTGTCTGTCCCCCTGCCTGTCCTGTCTGTCCTCCTGTCTGTCCCCCTGCCTGTCCTCTTATCTGTTCTCCCGCCTGTTCTCCCACCTGTCCTCCTATCTGTCCTCCCACCTGTCCTCCCGCCGGTCCCCCTGCCTGTCCTCCCTCCTGCCCAGATGTCTGGTTCTTGCCCACCTCCAGAGGGGTGGAGGACGATAGCTGGCCTTTATTCAAGGCCTTTATTCAGCTCTGAGGCAGGCATGTGACGTGTTGTCCCTGGGGTCCCCACCAGCTACTGCTGGCTGTCCCTGCTGCCCACTCCTGCGGGGCAGAGGGAAAGGTGTGCAATCTGGGTGGCCTGTCCAAATTTCCGCTGCCCAGCTGTGGCCGTGGCATCGCATGGCGCCCCTCTGGGCTTCCGTGTCTCCTGTAGGATGGAAGGGTAGAAACAGACAATCTCAGGGCTGTAGCCTTCTGGGGAGAGGCAGAGGTGTGCTGCGCACATGCACCCCTCCTCTGTGCCTGGGCGTGGCTCTCCTGGCTGGCTGCCACCTTGCGAGGTGTCTGCAGAGCCCGGGGAGGCCCAGCAGCCGCAGTGATTGCATTCAGCCACGATAACACGCCTGTGTGGACACCAAGTTTGTTGGGGTGTTGTGCTCTCCACATTAGCCTACCTGCTGACATTCCCTCCTGTGTGTCCCGTCCTGGGTTCCATGCAAGCCACGGTGTCATCATTTCCGTTAACACATCCACCCAGGGGTCTTGCCTGCCTGTTCCGTGCTTGCTCACAAGCTCCTGTGTCATCGCGCCTGGCATCAAACCCCTCAGGTGTCCTGCCTTGGGGGTGGCTGGTTCTGAGCACCACAGGACCAGGCCTCTGCAGCAGTATGCTGGGAGCCCCCACACTCCCCGTCCTGACCCCCGCCAACATGGCCTCTGCTCTGACTTCCTCAGCGGACGATGGAGGCTTTGAGAGCGGCGCATACAACAACAGTGCCATCGCCACCCCTCACCTGGATGCCCTGGCCCGCCGCAGCCTCATCTTCCGCAACGCCTTCACCTCCGTCAGCAGCTGCTCCCCCAGCCGGGCCAGCCTCCTCACTGGCCTGCCCCAGGTACGGGAGGCTGGGGGTGGGGAGAAGGTGACTCTAGGGCCTGGGCCTCTGTGGCAGGGACCGCCTACCTGGACGTGCTGCCTGGGGGTTGCATCCTAGGGGCATCTCAGGGGCAGCCAGGACTCTGCCTCACCGCTCTGGGCTCAGCTGGCTCTGCCCGTCTGGGGCCACGAGCAAGCAGTGTGCTTCTCAGGGCCTCAGTGTCCTCGTCTGTGACTGGGAAACCGTGAGATGTCACTCACCGGTCACTGTGGGGCTTGGCCAAGCATGGCTTCGTGGGGAAGGTGCTTGGTACAGGGCCTGCATACCTGCTGTCCAGCCCTGAGCTGCGGATCTCTGTGCTGAGTCAGGCGCTGGCAGGCACTTCCCTTTTTTGTTGTTATGGTAAAGTACATAAAACATAAAATTTGCCATCTCAGCAATTTTTCAGTGCTCGTTCCCTGGTGTGATTCTCACATGATTGCAGCCATCATCCACCTCGAGATTTTGCTTTAACCGAGACTCTGTCCTCATTCCTGCCACACCCGCCGCGCTCTGAATCTGACTACTCTAGGGCCCACTGCAGGTGGATCACTGCTGTTCGGCTTTGGTGCCCGGCTGTGACACTGAGGTCACCGCCTCTATGGGACCTGCTCCTTGTAACCATGTCAGAATTTACTAAATCGCCTTTGTGGGCATATCGGCACCCGCCTGTGATCTCAGCGCTGGGGAGGCAGAGACAGGCAGCTCTGTGAGTTCACAGCCTGCTCCACAGAGCGAGTTCCAGGACAGCTGGGCTGTGCACAGACATGCTATCTCCGTGCTTTATGTTTTGAAGTTTCAGATTTCATTTTAAACTTACATTGTGTGAGTTTGTGAAATGAGCACATCGTGCCTTCACAATGAGTCTGGAGGTCAGAGACAGCTTGTGGGAACCGGTTCTTCCCTCACGCCGGGTGGGCTCAGGGATGGCGCTCGGGAGTCATCAGGCTGGGCACCTTCCCAGATGAGCTATCTGGCACAACCCCTGACCTTTTGGAGACTGGGCCCAGGCTTGGCGCAGGCTCACTGCCTCTGGGCACACCCTCCCTGTTCCCTTCCCCCCGTTGGTGTCCACTGTCCCTCGTGTCTGCTGTCCCAGGAGGGGGATGGGTGGAGCTCCCATAGGGCCAGCATCCGGAAGGGTCCCGGGTGAGCCTCGGTGTCGGAGCCAGGCTCACGGCGTCTTCCTCTGCAGCATCAGAATGGCATGTATGGGCTGCACCAGGACGTACACCACTTCAACTCCTTCGACAAGGTGCGGAGCCTGCCCCTGCTGCTCAGCCAGGCCGGGGTGCGCACAGGTGAGGCCTGGGCGGGGCACAGTGCAGGCGTGTGGTCCCCCCTGTCCCCTCCCAGCCAAAGCTGGAGGCCTGCGGATCCCTCAGCTCTGTGAGCTGCTGCCCAGCCAGGCCAGCGGGCGCGCAGGAGAGGCGTGGGCCTGAGGACAGGATGCAGGCTCGAGGGCCGCCCAGGGCTGAGAGTCACCCTTAGGTCTTCCCGAACACTGGTCCTGAGAACCAGGCCAAAGGCTCCCAACTGTCCATCGGCAGCAGCTGCGCTGTCAGGGCTCGGACGGCATAAGGGGACACAGTGGGCTCTTCCCTCGCCCCCCCAGGCATCATTGGGAAGAAGCACGTGGGCCCGCAGACGGTGTACCCCTTTGACTTTGCGTTCACCGAGGAGAACAGCTCTGTGCTGCAGGTGGGGCGGAACATCACCAGAATCAAGCAGCTAGTCCAGAAATTTCTGCAGACTCGGGATCACAGGTACAGAGGGCTCTGCCCTGCTCTCCCTCTCCACGGCTGTCATCCCAGGTGCACAGTTGGCTGTGGCAGGGGCAGAAGAAAACGTTCTAAATACCCAGGAGAAAGGGGGAGGCTGAGGCAGCGAGGGAGACAGGGTGACTTGCCTGTACTAGTAAGCTAAGCCAAAGTGTGCCTCCCAAGAACTGGGGTTCTGAGCCAGGGCCAAGGCAGTGGCCTGGCCTTGACCCCACACCGAATCCCTTCCCCCACGTCCAGGCCATTCTTCCTCTATGTGGCTTTCCATGACCCCCACCGCTGCGGCCACTCCCAGCCCCAGTACGGAACCTTCTGTGAGAAGTTTGGCAATGGGGAGAGTGGCATGGGACGCATTCCAGACTGGACACCCCAGACCTACAGCCCTCAGGACGTGATGGTAGGAGGGGCCCTTGTGATGTTTCCAAGGCATGCAGCCCATTCCCCTCCGCCCAGGGCCCAGGCCGCCTCAGAGCATGCAGCCCCTGTCCCCAGGATGCAGCTTAATGTGTGCGAGGAGGCTTGAGCCAGTGGGCTCCGGGTCCTTGTGCGCGGGCTGCAGAGGGAACCCTGGGCCCTGGAGATGAAGTGCTTACAGAATAAAGCTGGATTGACTAGTCTGTTCATGGGGGGATCAGGGGAAGGACGCGCGCCCTGCCTCCTACCCAGTTGGAAATGGCCCCCGTCGTCCATGTCCTGTCCCCCTTGCCATCCTCTCGCAGATGCTTTCCCCTGCCTTCCTCCTCAGGTGCCTTACTTTGTCCCGGACACCCCAGCAGCCCGAGCAGACCTAGCGGCCCAGTACACCACCATCGGCCGGATGGACCAGGGTAGGTCCCCGACCGAGGCTGCCTCTCTCATCCCAGGCCGGGGACACCCAATCAGGCCGGGGGGTCCCCCAGACAGTGTGAGCCAGGGTGGGAGCTGAAGGTGGGAGTCTCTGCTTCTGAGGCCTCAGTGTCCCTTGGCTCGTGGTCACATCGCTCCAGCTTCGAGTCGCCTGCTCGGCTTTCTGTCTGTAGCTCCTCTGGTTTATTTCCTTAATTTTTCCTTATTTTTACTTTACGTGTGTGGACGGTTTGCCGAGTTGGTTGTAAGTGCCTCACATGCGTGCAGTGCCCATGGGAGCCAACAGAGCTGCAGCACGCCTTCGGAATTGGAGTTACGGATGTTTGTGGGGGCTGGCAATCGAATCTGGGTTCTCTGAAAGAGCAGCAGCCAGTGCTCGTAACCATATCTCTTCATTTAATTAAGTTTTTTCTTTGTTTTCGTGTGTATGTGTGCACGCACACATATTTTTTCACATGTGTGCGGTGTGCACATGTGTGTGTGCGTGAGGAGGCCTGAGGTTGGTGTTGGAGATCACCCTCAGTTCCTGAGGCAGAGCCTGTCAGTCAGCCCAGAGCTTGCTGACAGAGCTGGTCTTCTGTGCCAGCCTGCTCTTGGTGTCCCGCTTCTGCCTTCCGGGAAGTCCAGGCACGCTCTCTCACCCATCTGGCAGTTATGTGGGTTTCTGGGATACAAATTTCGATCCTCACTCTCGCGCGGCAAGCACTTTACTGCTGAGCTATCTCCCTGGAGCCTTCTCTTTTAAAGATTTATTTCCTTATACCATGTTCTGTCTGCATGTGTGTCTGCATGCCAGAAGAGGGCACCAGATCTCACTATAGATGGTTGTGAGCCAACATGTGGTTGTTGGGAATTGAACTCAGGACCTCTGGAAGAGCAGCCAGTACTCTTAACCTCTGAGCCAGCCCTCCAGTACCGTGTCTTCTCTTTTAAATGAAAACTTTTGACTTTTTGAGACTGGGTCTTGCTATAGCTCAGGTTAGCCTGGAATTCACTAAGTAGCCCAGGCTGTCCCTGAACTCCCAATTTTCCTGCCTCCGCCTGTCTAGTGCTGAGAGCTGAGATTACAGAGGTGAGCACCTGAGCCTGGTTTCCCTGAGGAGGGCGTACCTGGGGACTGGAGGATAATTTCCTCCATGGATCCCTAACTTAAATCTGCTAAGTCTGTTTTTCTAAAGAAGCTCACAGGTTGCTGTGGGCGTGTCTTGCCTGCAGGAGGCACCGTGGTATCGTGTCCCTGTTGCTGGTATTAGAAGGTCCCTAACAGCGGTGTCCTACCCAGGCTGTCTCTCTCTGCTCCATGGCACAGACACGAGGTTCTAAAACACAGACGCCAGCCTGGGGCAGTAGCAGCTGCCTAGTGTGACAGCAGTTGTATCACAGGGATGAGAGGTCCCTGGAAGCCATGTGCCCAAGTACAGGAGGTTTGTGGTTTGTGCAAAGAGGCTGCGCCTGCAGGAAGGATCGAAGGGTTGTTTGAGGGCCACAAACAGCCTGGGGTGAATGGCCGCGTGTGCCTGAGCCTTCTCCCTCCTCCCATCCTCAGGGATAGGGCTGGTGCTCCAGGAGCTGCGAGGTGCCGGTGTGCTCAATGACACCCTCGTCATCTTCACGTCCGACAACGGGATTCCCTTTCCCAGCGGCAGGACCAACCTGTACTGGCCTGGCACAGCCGAACCCCTGCTGGTGTCATCCCCAGAGCACACACAACGATGGGGCCAGGTCAGCGAGGCCTACGTGAGCCTTCTAGGTATGGCTGTCTGTCTGTCTGTCTGTCTGTCTGTCTCATGGGAGGGGAAAAGTGAGGTCTAGTGGGACTGCCATGGGTTAGGGACTGGAGTGCCCCCTGGCATAGGCAGTCCTCCTCCACCTAGGTGGGGACAAGATGGCCTCCTCTGTTATATGATAAGAATCAGAGTTGGCTGGAAGGCTTGTTCCTGTCATGTCATGACCCCCTAGAGTGTCTGGTGGGGTCCCAGGTGGTACCAGTGGGCTGTGGGTTACCCACTTGAGAACAGTCTCTCTCTCTCTTCAGGATCCAGAGCCCCTCATGAGTCAGCTCTGAGAGGACCTGGTGATCTAGCCCCCTGCCATGAGTGAGCAAGCATGCCTGCACCTATGGGAATGGATGGGCTGAGTTAACAGCCCAGCCAGCTTTCTGTGCCCCGTCCACTGCCTGGAAAGAACCTCTGCGTTCTTTATGGGATAGGCTCCCTCCCGCTCTGGACCTACCTCTCCATGTGGCCCTAAACCATGAGTGAGGGAGCCACGTGACCAGCCCAGAGCGACTGCTGAGCCCTCCCTACCCAGGGCTCTTCTGGTCCATAGGATTTTAGAAAGTTTTAGATATGAGCAAGCCAGGGGCTCTGGTTACACCGTTATCGGCTTCACAGGCTGGAGGTGAGCTGTGATGACAGGAGAGGCCCAAAGGAGTCCCTCCCCACTGTTGATCTGATCCTAGTGGATTTCCTCAGAGGCTGAGGTTCAGCCCTTCTGAACGTCTCCGTGCCCCTCGTGGACCCCTGCTAAGAGGCTGTTTCTTTCCAGACCTCACCCCCACCATCCTGGACTGGTTCTCCATTCCCTACCCCAGCTACGCCATCTTTGGCTCCAAGACAATCCAGCTCACAGGCCGATCCCTCCTGCCGGCGTTGGAGACAGAGCCCTCGTGGGCCACTGTCTTCAGCAGCCAGAGCCACCACGAGGTCACCATGAGCTACCCCATGCGCTCTGTGTACCACCAGAACTTCCGCCTCATTCACAACCTCAGCTTCAAGATGCCGTTTCCCATCGACCAGGATTTCTACGTCTCGCCAACCTTCCAGGACATCCTGAACCGCACCGCAGCCGGCCGGCCCACGGGCTGGTACAAGGACCTCCACCGCTACTACTACCGGGAGCGCTGGGAGCTCTATGACATCAGCCGGGACCCCCGAGAGACACGCAACCTGGCCGCAGACCCGCGCTTCGCTCAGGTGCTGGAGCTGCTGAGAGCTCAGCTAGCTAAGTGGCAGTGGGACACCCATGACCCCTGGGTGTGCGCCCCTGACGGGGTGCTGGAGACAAAGCCCACGCCTCGGTGCCAGCTGCTTCACAATGAGCTCTGACAGTCCCCGGGCGCCCGCCAGCCTCGGGGACACGAAGGGAGGGACTGGTGGAGGCAGGGCCGGTCTGAGGAGGGCCCCTCTGTCCTGTGGGATCATTCCTGCCTCCTGTGGAGGACACGGGGCATGCGCGCTCTGTGTCGCTACCGCACCAGGGACTCTGCAGTCCTGGTGCCTGTGTTCCCTGGCCCAGGAGTTCTGGGGGATGCTTGGGCAGGGCAGAACCCCAAGTTTTGATGGGTGAGCTTGTAGACCTGCAGATGCAGGGGGCTTGAAGCCCTCTGGTTTGGGGAAGCCATGGATGTTTTCAGGCCTTCGAGGAGCCCGGGGCTTCTGTGTGCCACGCTGGCAGCAGGCAGACCACACTGGCTACTTTAACCGACCTTGGCCTGGAGGGAGCATTTAGGAGGCCTTGGGCTTGCTTCTGCCTTCAGCCTACCCCTATCAAGTGCACACTTAGCCAGGATTCTCGCTGGTTCTGAGGGGAGGAGTCTGATCCTGTGGTCTTTCTGGGCTCGCTTGTCCTTTCTGAGGGTGACCGTGGAGGACAGGGCGTGACAGTGCTCCGTCTCTTGCCTTTCATTCTCTCTGAGTGACATCTGGCCCCAGCTCTCCCCTTCCTCCACTCGGCCAGGGGTCAAGCACAGCCTAGGAACCTGGAAAGAGAGGGTCCGTTCCCTCTGCCCCCTATCAACTCCATCATGGGAGGCGGCGAGAACCATGGGCCCTGGCATCAGAAAACCTCACAACAGTATAATAGTTCACAGACCTTCATAGTAGCACACTGGATCTTAGGCCCTGAGACTCAAAGACTTGTCAAAATGACTCAGCTTATGGCTAGGTGGTGGCTTTACCCATGTGGGGTGTAATGACCCCCAAGAAGGACCTGGGGTCATGTCAGCTTGACAGTCAGTTCCTCACTCAGGGAGGGTCCTTTGGCTCTGTCCAGGACACCTACCAAAGCAACCTGGCCTTTGGGGCTGGACACAGAGGCCGTGAGTCGAAGAGCCACTGTCCTCGAAGAGCAACTTCCTGGGCAGTGTCTGTGGCAGCTGAGGAGAGTCAGCCACGCCCATGGCTCACCAGAGGCTGTGCCCCTGCCCTGGGCCAGGAGGACTGTTCCAGTGAGCTTTCAAGGTTCCTTTGACATCAGAAGTGTAGAAAGAGAGGACAGTCCCCAGGAAGCTATTCTGTTACCACAGGAGGTTGGGGCCCTGGCCCCAAGCAGGTCTCAGGAAGGGCAGCAGTGTAGCAGAATGTCCCCGTGTCCTCCATAAGCGCAGGTCATGGTGCGATAAGGTGGCTCCATCATTTACACCTTGATTGCCGTGAGCACCTGAGGGAGGCCCTCACCCGAAGGAAGTGGGGTGGTTTGCTGGCAGTGTTAACAGGCACGTGGAGGTCCCCACAGTCCCGAAGCAGGTCTGGGTTTCAGCGGGAGCTGTGCTCTGTCCACACCACCTTCTTCTGCTCGTCAGCAATGGCCAGGCGCACAGAGCTGAGCAGGCCGTCCAGGTCACTCCAGCTGTCGGGGGCCAGGCTGCTGTACAGACAGGGCACCCTGTCCAGTTCCCCCTCCTCCTGCCGGGCCGCCTCCAGGAACTGCTCCTCCGAGCTGCCCAGCCGCTGCAGACCCTTCCTGCAAAGCAGAGATGTTCAGCCTGAGGACAGCAAGGTAGCCGGGAAAGCGCACCGTTGGCTTTCCAGTACAGAGCAGTGTAGGCATCCAGGCCAGGGCCTGGCGAGAACCCTGCCTGTACCCTTGGGCACCAGCTTGGGCATCCTGTCCAGGGAAGCTAGGACCTGGTTGCAGGTGGTGTCCACTGATGGGGTGTGCAAGAGCATGTCACACTTCCCAGAGGACAGGGACGGCAGGGTGTCTGCCCTGCCAGAACCAAGTGATGAGGTGGGGTTAGGCTTCATGAGCCTCAGGCACTGTGCAGCTTTGGTCGAGCTGGGTCAGGGGACAGGTCTTCTCCTGAGGGAGGGCAGGCTGGGCCTGTCACCTGAGGCTGTAAGGACACCTGACTGGGACTGGAACAGAAAGCCCTGGTGTGTTCCGGAGGCACGTGCCAAGCTTTCCCACAGCTCAGCTACCTGTTTAGACCCCACTGCCCAGCTCTCACCCAACAGCTACCTGAGTTTCTTGGCCGTCTTCTCATTGACAGAGACATGGATGATGATGGGGAAAATGTCCATTCTGTGCAGGACTCGGACGCTGTCCAGCCGGACATCCAGCAGGGCATGGGTGCTCTTTGGGAGAGCACAGAGAAGCAAGTTAAGCCCATGGCCTTGGGTCTGGGAGGAAGTGAGGGGCCCTGTGCAGCTGAGCGCAGGGCTGTGCAGAAGACACCCAGAGTGAGGTGTGCACAGGGCGCTCGCTGACCATCTTACAGGGCAGTAGCCACCTGATCTGTCTCTGGGGAAATCTGGAGCTGCAAGCCTTTGGCATTGAGATAGGTTTGGCAATGGAGTGCAAGCCTTAAGAATCAGACAATGGCAGCTGTCACCCTCCATGGTCTCTGTGTCTGTGTCTTTCCTGCTCCTTGTGGAAGTATGAAACTTGACAGTTCGCTGAGAGCTGTAAAATGTGATGGCCTTAATGTCTCCATTTATCAATAAACATCTATCACATCCCAAGTTAAGAGAGCTGAGGCCCAGAGGCCCTCCTAAGAGTGTTCCAGAGCTTCAGCACGAGGATCCCCAAGTGGCAGGAGCATGGTTGGGTCTCTCTATGTCTTTCCTATAGAGCATGAAGCTGGGTATCTAGGGAGCTACAAGTCACTCCCCAAGTCTGGGCAGGAGCTGCCAGTCCCAGAACCCCTCCAACCCTTCATTACCGTGTTCATGAGGGATTCCACGGCGTGCCGGGTGAGCCAGTGGTCACCTGCTGACTCTTCCTCCTGGATGATGGCCCCTCTCTGGCTCCACATGATGTACTCCTCCCGGCTCAGGTACTCTGGTGGTGACATTAGATGTGTCACATATGGATCCTGAGGGAGCCCCACTGGACACCCCACCCTAGGGGTCTCCGGCCACGTTCAGTAGGAGCTTCCTGCAGTGGCCACACGGAAACCTACACCACCTCCAACCACAAGTGTGCTGGCACGCCCACCCGGAGCCCTGGGATGGCACGCGTGGACTCTGGGTCGGTGAGGTTGGGGGCAGGGTAGATGGAGGGGCATGGAGAGGTAGACCCATAGATGTGCAGGCAGGGGACAGGGCGACAGTGCTCCCCGCCGCTGCCCGTGCTCCAGGCTTATAGATGGACCTGCCCTCTGACCTGAGGGATCCCACCAGTCCCTTAAATCCCCTTTTCCCACCGAGCATGGCTCTGGCCCTAGGGGATGCTGGTCAGTGTTTTGGGCAATGTTCTGTTGTGTATGTGTGTGACTGGTACTGTCAAACTCCAACAGTGCGACACAGTAGAGAAAGGCAGCCACAGATGTCCTGGTGCTGATGGCGAGAGCCCATTCTGGAGCCCTCCTGAGCAGGCCCTCACGGCCCAAGCCTGTCTCTCAAGGCACCCCAGCTGTCCACGTCCCACCTTCCATGCAGCATTGCTGGGAACCCAGGCCCCCAAGTTCCAGTGAAACACCCCCCCCCCCAGGCCTTCCATCTTCCACTCTGCATTAGAAAGATGTTCAAAGATCAAGTGTGAGTGAAACCCCTTCTCCTGTAAAAACTTGGGCTCTGGCCCAGCGTTCTGGGTGCCCTTGTGCATGCTGGCTGGCCAGTTGGACCATCTCTCTCCCTTTTGCCCCTGTCAGCCAGCCCGTCATGTCCCTCCCTCCCTGGACAAGTACAGCGTCCATGTCTGTGTAGCTTCATCCCCCTGGTCTGCCCCAGCTACACCCAGGCGACCGTTTCTAGAGGAACCCATGGGCTCCCGGGATTCAGTTTCTCCCACTTTCCCGAGGAGGCTGGCCAAGGGAGGCGCTCAGTGGAGAAGCCACATGGGTGGTGCCTGCTTCCTCCTCTCCTCTGAAAGTCAAGAGTAGAACAGTCTCCCCAGAGTCTCCCACCCCTGTCAGTCAGCCTTTCCTAAGTCCTGGGCCTGGGGATTAGAAAGCACTTCCATGAAGCTGCCAGGTAGCTGGTAGTGAATTGACAGAACCCTCCAGCCATGCTACCCTGTGGAGTCCATCCTGTTTTCAACATGACTGTTGAAGGGAGAAACAGTGGTCCACCCCACCAGTGTCCATCAGAAACAAGGATGGGCCTCCTTTGGAAAGACAATCCTGGGCTACGATGGACCCTAGAAGGACATGTATAGACAAAGACACGTGGACAGAAAAAGAGCAGCAATGACCAAAGCCAAGATGGGAGTGGGGATGCCCTGAAGCCCTAAGGTGCTGATGAGCCAGGGAGGACCCACACGTGCAGCCCCGAGAGTGGGCTCCGCTGAGGCGGTCAGACATTCTGGGAATGCTGAGACAGTTGTCCCCCTTCAGTCTTCCCAGTTTGAGCCCCTCTGTTATGGTGTCCCTGAATTTACCGACACCCGCTTGCTGCTGTCCCAGAACAGACAGCCTCTGGCCACGTGACAGAGGAGCACGTACCTGCCGGACACCGCTTAAAACCTTGGAGGGCACACAGCTTTTTGCCCAGGATCTTCCCAACCACTCTGGGCACGAAGAGCACAGGCCGGGGCCGGGCAGGCCTGTGGGGGTGCACCAGAGTGTATGGCGCCAGGGTAAAGCAGCTCTCTGCCCAGAAGCACACGCTGGAGCTGCCTGTGGAGGACAGAGGCCGTGAGCACCTCCCACCGGGGTCCCTGCCCCGCTTTCCAGGAGAGACGGACAAGGACATTCTAAGCGTCTATGCCACTAACTGTGCATTAGCTGTGATGCTGGCTCAGCTGCCACAGAGCTCGCAGCCCGCCAGGAGGAGCCTCTGAGGACAGGAGGAGCCTGGCCCCTCCTCCCGAAGGAAGGATGTGTAGGGGTCTTGCCTCTCGCCCCAGCCCTCCTTCCCCTCACTCATCCTCTTCTCCCTCCTTTTCCCATTGGCTCAGTCCTGCCCTTCAGGTCACTGGATCCTCAGCCCCCTCCTTCCTAGACCCTTTGCTCCTCTCCTGGGTTATCTATGTTGTTCCTGTCTTCAGCACCCAAACTTAATTTTTAAAAGATTTATTTTTATTTTGTGTTTGAGTGTTTTACGTGTGTGTGTGTGTGTGTGTGTGTGCGCGCCAGTGCTTGCAGAGGACAGATGACAGCATTGCATCCCGTGAAACTGGCATTATGGACGGTTGTAAACTGTCAAATTTGGGTGTTGGGAACAAAGCTGGGTCCTCTAGAAGAGCATAAGAGGCTCGTCTCTTGAGCCTCAGGATCCACCCAAACTTTCTTAAAGAAAACAAGTGGTTAATCTTCCACTGACTCACTTCTGATCAACTTCATCCTGTGGCCTTAGCTGTGGGGCCCACAGCAGTCAGATCTCCAGTGTGACTGTGTGCCCACACTGATCAGATAGTGACCTTCCTCTCTATGACACTGGGCATTTGCTAGTTTTCACTGTTCCAGACAGACTCTGCACTTTGGTGCTAGCAGCTTTTGCACAGTTCCACTGGGTCAGTGGAGTGGCCATTTTAAAGGATAGCAAATGTGTTGCTCAGCTAGTTCAGAAGGCATGTGGACATTTATTATGATCCATAAAAGACATAGTGTGTGTGGAGAGGGATGGTGCAGAGATGGCTTAGCTGTTAAGAGCTTGTTGTTCTTCCAGGGGAAACTGGGTTCAACCCCCATTACCCATGGGGTAACTCACAGCCACCTGTAACTCAAGTCCCAAGGGATCTGATGCCTTCTTCTGGCCTCCAGGGGCACTGCATGCACAAGTCGTGTGTGTGTGTGTGTGTGTGTGTGTGTGTGCGCACACACACACACACACACACACACACAAGCACACACACAAGCAAAACACCTATGCAAATAAATAATAGCACCCCTGGCCTGAGTGAGAGACTCTGCCTTGATGGTACTGCCCAGAAGTGACCCCCAATGGCCACATGGCCCCCATGCCAACTGGCCAAGCCTCACCTTCCTCCTTGCCAGAGTCCAGCTGGCCGTGGTCAAAGGATGAAGACAGAGGGCTGACACTGGCTTTGTCCACACTGACAATTCGTACTAACTTCTGTGTTCCTCCAGAAGGCTGTCACAGGAGGAACAGGGAGACAGGAAAGACACGAGGCTCAGCCACCAGCACAGGGTTTGGGGCCTGGCACCCCCTCCCTACTTTGGCAACCTGCCACAAAAGCAGATCCAGAGCAGCCTCTAAACAATCAGGCTGTGCTACAGAGGGACCAGGCTTCCCAGGCCCCACACCAGGGGGTGGGAGGCAGGGGAGGGGCCTTGGGCAACAGGGCCCTGCAGGGAGGGATGGGGTGCAAAAGGCAGAGAGAAGAGCAGGCCCCCTCCCGACTTAGCATTGCCGTGCCCCAAGCAGGAATGTCCTAGCACCTTGCTCAGGGACAGATGGGTGCTCAAAGTGAAAGGTGCTCTGTGTCCCAAGAGAACAAGGTTCCCGACCTCAGAGGAGACAAGAACAGGGAGGTGAGGCTGTGACAGGAGGCTGGGAGGGTGAGGAGGAGCGGGAGCAGGTTTGAGCGTGAGGTCTGCCGTGGTCACGTGGCCCATTCCAGGGCCTGCGGGCCTGGAGGGCTTGGTGGGTACACAGGGTCCAGACGCTGCCCCGCTCAGCTCATCGGTCCACGCTTCCCACACGGATTCCACAGCATCCCACCGCTTCCAGCCCATTCCAGGGACCACACCAGGGCTTCACCTTTCGGGGAACTGTGCACCGTTGAGTCATGTCCTGGATGAGGGCCAGGAGCTGCCGCTGCGCCCTGAGCAGACGGAGGAAGAGACACTCTGACAGCCTGACTGAGCAGCCTCACGGCCCAGAGGGACGCATAGCCTGGGGACAGGAGTGCTCCATGCCGGGGCTCACAGACTGGGGCCTTGAATCTCCCAAGCCTTAGTCCAGGCCAGAACATGCTAACTTAATGGTCCTGCATGGGTCCCAGTGGGGGCTACTGAGCAGCCAGGGTATGTAACGGAGGCCCTACCACCAGGAGGGCTTATAGAGATAAATCCTTCCTCTGCTCTTTATTCTTGGGCAGGTGCTCTGCTTTAAGGCAGGGAAGATTCTGGAAGGCCTCCTGGGCAGGAGGGACCCGGACACGGTGCTGAGCCAGGCAGATGCTATCCTCGGGACTCGAGTGGCAGCTACTCACTGTGAATAGTTGGGGACGGTGCCGGACTCCATGTCTTTCATGGTGTAGGGGTTCACGCGATGGGCGTGCCAGCAGCCTCGGCCTCGGAACATGGTGTCGGTGACGTGCAGGATATCATTGCAGTGCACATTCAGCTCTCCCTCACCCTTCCTCTGCATGGCCAGGTTGGCCCGGATGTAGAATGAGTCTCCAGAGGTCACCACTTTGGCTTCGAGGTCCTGGATTAGGTTCTTATAACCTGATAAAAGAACACATCGGTAGAGGACGATTGCAGACCCCTGCACTTACTTGAGGAAGGTTCTAGAATGTGAGAGTGGGAGGAACCGTCATGGAAGCCACCTCGGTGCTAGGCGCAGGGTGGAGGGATGGTTCCCGTTCTTTGGAGCCCGGGGGATTCAGGGAGAGACTGGCTGAACTGCCTCGGTCTCGATAGGCCTGGGTTCTGGGGTGCAGCAGGGTCAGAGCAGGGGACCGAGAGCTGAGCAGGTGTGGGCTGGTGCCTTTACCCTCAGTGTTGATCTTCACAGACAGGTAGCAGGAACCATTCACCCTCTTGAGAAGGCCCACAGCCTGCTCCAGCGTGGCATTCTCCAGCGTGGCCCTTAATGACGGCTCAGTCGGCTTGTAGTCCACCTGAGGGCAGTGAGAGGGCCACTTCTCACCAACACCGTATGGCAGCTGAGATGTGGTGCAGAGGGAGCCCGCAGAGCACCCCTTGGCCTCCCTCGCAGCCCCCCATGTTGGCCTCTCGTGGCCTATCAGGATCGCTTGTCACAGCTGTGCTGGGGTTGTGTTGTCACAGCATCAGGCTGCGCTCAGCTGCCTGTCACCCCCCAACCTTTCCACTGCTGAGGATGGCCTCTTCGTCATAGCCTCTTTCCTGTCTTGAAAATGGACCTTGGGAGCTTCTAGAACATTCTGGGTCACTCTAGATCGAGGTTCTGTGTGTGCGAGGCCCGACCATTATGTGCACGGGGCTGCTGAGTGGCATCCCCGGTCCTCACCCACTCAGTGCCAGGGTGCCCCTCCCTTACCCTACTGGGAAGGGCTGGGGCTTCCATGCTGCCTCCCTCATCCCCGTGGTGTAAGGGGACATGTGCTTCTGTGTCTTGTGTGCACGTGCTTTGACTCGTCTGCCAACTGTCAGCTCAGAGCTGCCCAGGATGATACAACTGTCTTTCAAGTGCCATGGAGGACCCTGCAGCATGAAAGGGCCCTTGGCTACTCGCCAGTCTCAGGACTATAGTGTCACAGGGCTCCTCGTATCTGTATGTAGGGCACAGGGGAGCATATGGGCCCTTCAGGATGCTCTTGCTTCACTGTGGACACCCCCTGCCCAGGTGAGCTGCCCCATTCCTGCCCTTCTCTCAGTGAGGCCGACAGACAGGTGAGCCTCAGGGATGGGGTGAAGCCTTTTCCCTTCAAGACAGGGTTTCTCTGTGTAGCCCTGGCTGTCCTTCCTGGACTCACTTTGCAGACCGGGATCTCCTCGAACTCACAGAGACCCGCCTGCCACTGCCTCCCGGAGTGCTGGGATTACAGGCGTGCGCCACCACGCCCGGCTGGCACCTTTCTTGATATTTTTAAAAGGCTTAAAGTTGGGCAGGGGCGGTTAGAAATTTGGCTCAGTGGTTAAGAGCACTTGTTGCTCTTACAGAGGACCCGGGTTCTGTCCCCAGTCCCTACAAAGCAGTTCTCAACTGTCTGTGACGCCAGCTCCAGGAAATCTGCTGTCCAGTTCTGGCCTCCTCAGGCACCTGCGCTCGTGTGCACTCACCCCTCTCACATATATGCACATAATTAAAAATAAAATAGGGACTGGAGAGATGGCTCAGTGTTTAAGAGCACTGGCTTCTCTTCCAAAGACTAGGGTTTAGTTCCCGGCATTCCACGGTGGCTCACAACTTTCTGTAACTCCATTTCCAGGGCATCCAGTGCCCTCTTCTGGCCTCTGGGGGCATCAGGCACACAGACAATACATAGATGTACATGCTAGCAAAGCACCCATTGACCTAATAAAAAAATTTTATGTGAAAAAAGTCATTTTAAAGGCTTATAGTTGAGCAGTTTTGTTTGGGGGGCCAGGGAGGCAGCTTGGTAGCTAAAGGCATTTGCTGTGTGAGCCTGACCACCCGGCCCAGCCCTCGACCCCACGTGGGTGCTGTGCTGTGAACCCGTGTCCTCGGCGCTCTCACATGGAGCTGAGGTGGGGAGAGCGGACTGACCGCACGCACAGAAACCCACTCACTCACCCGAGAGCCTGAGAAGGGCTGCAAGAGAAAGAAGATGGAAGAGCCAGGTGTGGGGGCCTGTAATCCCAGCACTTGGAGGCAGAGGGAGGTGGTTCTCTGTGAGCTCGAGGCCAGCCTGGTCTACAGAGTGAGTTCCAGGACAGCCAGGGCTACATAGTGAGACCCTGTCTAAAAAAAAATAAATAAATAAATAAAACCAAACAACAAACAAACAAGAAAGATCCAAGAAGAAGGATGAGGAGAGAGCCTCATGCTTGGCCCCACAGCTCAGGTACTCATCACCAAAGACTGAAAGCCTGAATCCAACCCCTGGGACCCACGTGGTGGAAGGATAGACGTGTGTTTTGTGACACACAGACAAATAAGCAAATACATGTAGGTGTTTGTTGAGACAGGGTCTCGGTCTGCAGAACGGGCCCAGAACTCACAGTTCCACCTGCCTTTGTCTGCTAAGTGCTGAGATCGAAGGTGTGGGCCAGCACACCCCGCAAGAGAGAGCCTGCCTCAAAGCGAGGTGGAAGACAGCAGGACAACCAAAGCTGAGCCCTGACCTGCCACGTGTGCTGTGCGTTTGTGCAGCCTCACACGCACACACGCACACACGCACGCAGAAGTGAAGAAAACTACGTTGTTAGGCCACGTCCAAATCACCCTCCCCACTCATGTTTTCTCTTAATAAGAGTAATTTATGATTTACCTTTATATGTATATTTGTGCTCTGTCCAGATATGGGCATTTTGCAATAAAACTCCATAGTTAAAATGGTGTATTGTTTTGTTTTTGGTGTTTCAAGACAGGGTTTCCCTGTGTAGCCTTGGCTGTCCTGGACTCACTTTGTAAGCCAGGGTGGCCTCGAACTCACAGCGATCCGGCTGCCTCTTCTCCACCTCCCTGAGCACTGGGATTAAAGGTGTGCCCCACCATGACCAGCTAAAATGGTGAATTTTATGTCATGTACATGTTTTTTTCTGCACATATGCAAACTGACAATAAGATCATCAAAGTAAAAAAGAAACACAAAGCCCTACCCCCATTAGAATGGCTTTACACAGCCCAGTCAGGGCTGGGGCGCAGCTCAGCACTGGATCACGTGTCTGACAGGCACAAGCCCCCCAGTTTCACCTCCAGAACAGCACCAAGGGCAGAGCTGCCGAGTTCCAGGGGCTCTGGGGCATCTGACCGGCCCGGCTTGAGAAGGGGCTGGGTTTCCCTCCCCGACCCACTTCCATAAACAAATGCAATACTTTCCATCAACCCAAGCAGAACCGAGACCCTGTCAGAGCCAGACCACAGTCTCCTGCCACACAGCCCTACCCATTCTGGCACTGGCCTGGTCTTCCTCTCTTGCTCACCATCATGATCTGAGTGCCAGGACGTAAGGCCATCTCATCTGCCGCGGAGCCGGGGGTGACCCGGTGAATGAAGATACCGGTGAGGTTCCCGCCGATGACGCTGATCTGCTCTAGCAGTGGGTCCCCTTGGAATGCCAGCACTGTGACCTGGCTTAGGATCTTGCGGGCTGGCCTCCGCCTCACAGGGATGCTGCTGCGGGCAGACAGATCCACGCTGAGCGCAGAAGTCAGGAAAGGCCCAGGTTCTGGAATTCTCTCTGCTCCGGCCCATTCCTCGGAAATGCTGTGGCCTCCCCCAGGTGAGGGGGGCAGTCACCCTCTGCTCTGTCCCGGCCAGTCTCCCCAGCCTGCAGCTCACCTTTCTGAGATAGTCAGGCTCTGCGAAGACTCCTGCGGGCTGTCCTCCGGCTGGCAGAGGTCTGGAAGGACATGGGAGTCACGCCAGCTCTTTGCCCTGCTCCCCTGCGGCGGCCTCCTCAGGTACCTCACCTGCCTGGCTCAGGCCCCTGCAGAGGCCCCGCCTTTGTGCTGAGTTCTTTGATTTCATCTCTCCATGGTGACAGCTGTGCATCATTCTGCACTGCCTGAACTAGTTGCCAACAGCTTAAGGGAGGGGAGACTTGTAACATCTAGATTTCTGAATTCAGTTAAGGGTCAGATCTAAGGGCAGGAGAGACAGCTCAGGAGTTAGTTCTGGGCGCTTGTTCTTGCACAGGACCAGAATTCGGTTGCCAGCACCCACGCAGTGATTACCACTTTCTGTACCTCCAGCACCAGGAGACCAGCACCCTCTTCTGGCCTCTGTGGGCACCAGGCAAGCATGTGGTGCACGGACATACATGCAGGCAAAACACTCATCACAGAAAATAAAATAAATCCAAAAAGGGGGAGTCTAACTTTGGCATAGTCCAGTCCTTGGCACTGACCAGCACCCCCTGGCTATGCTGGGCCTCTGAATTCTCACATTATATGCTCCCCAAGGCTCCCCAAGATCTAGCATGTTAAAAATTAACTAATCCAGGCTGGAGAGAGCGCTCAGTGGTTAAGAGTACTGTCTGCTCTTCCAGAGGTCCTGAGTTCAATTCCCAGCACCCACATGGTGGCTCACAACCATCTATAGTGAGATCTGGTGCCCTCTGCTGGTGTGTAAGCATACCTACAGGCAGAGTAGTATATAAATAATAAATAAATCTTTATAAAATTAATTACTTTGAAATGGTCGTACTATATAGCCTTGAATTCTCAATCCTCCCAAGTTCTGGGGTTACATGTGCGAGTCTCCACATCCAGAGAGCTTTCTCTCTGTCTCTCTGTCTGTCTCTTTCTGTGTGTCTGTCTCTGTGTGTGTAAGCCAAAGGTGAGCATCAGTTGTCTTCCTTTATCACTTTCTGCCTTATTTTGTGAGGCAGGGTCTCTCACTGACTGCAGAGCTCTTCATTTTAGCTAACCTAGCTGGGCTGAGAAGCCCAGATACCTGCCTATATCACCTCCCCTCGCTGGGCTTATAGAAGCCTGCTGCCATGCCTGGCTTTTACAGGGATTCTGCCGATCAGGCCTCCATGCGTGCAAGCAAGCATTTTCCCCACATGTCCCAGCCCCTGACACAGCACTGTGGTTCGTATTCTGTGACCTTGGGCCAGGGGCATCTTACCCCACCGCAAGCTCCGGTGGGGGCCTCAGAGCTGCCGCCCACAGATGGCTTCCGCCCAGGTAACAAGCACCATCTGACTATCTTAAAAGCAGAATTAAATAGAGGAAACGCTCCAGCCGAGCTTGGATTTGACCCCGACACAGTGTGTGAACCTGAGGCGGAAGTTGGCAAGGGTTTGGGTTTCTGGTCACTTGGTCCACTGTGCTGAACGCTCTCGACCTCTGGTGGCTGTGAGGTGAATTCTGGCCAGGAGCCAAACAGCTGAGAGGGCCAGGTGTAACCCCGGGTGTGGCCCCAGGCGTGAGGTGAAAGTGAGAATGTTAGTTAGTGGACGTCAGGACAAGGGATCAGTTCAGTCACAGATGTGAGGAAATGAGGAGAGCGAGAGCCTTGCGGCTGGCAGCCAGGAGAAGGGCTGCTCCTGTCAGATGCAGATGCGCCAGGAGCCACTGAGCACTGCTCACAGGGAGGGCGGGGATGGGGCAGGAGAACACGCACGCCTGTGGCCATGTGAGCACAGATGCTGAGCCTTGTGTGGCCTCTGCGTGAAAATTACGACCACAGGAAACAGCTCAGTTGGGCTGTGGTCGCCTCCATTATGGCAGAGATCAAGTTCACATCTTTCTGCAGTCTGGAGAGAGAGCCAGGCTGTCTCCCTCACCTCCCTGCTGCCCAGAAAAAGAGCCTGCTGAAGAGATGCGTGTGTGTGGCACACTCACCTGCTCCGTCCAGCATCTCATACTCCAGGTCTGTGTCCGTGTCGTCCCCCACAGTCCCTTCAAGCCTCGCCTCCGGGGCCTCCGAGAAGCTGTCACAGAGCACGGGAAGCTAGCTCACCTGGCGGCCGAGCTGCTGTGCCCAAAGCCCAGACAGTCCTTGGAATAGCTAGCATCCCCCGAAAGCTGGACTATGCGCTACCTTAGAGACTCCGGATCTGCCAGGAAGTCCTCCGCCACCCGCTTGTGCAGTGACTGCTGGCTGGGAGGCATAGGGCTGCTGGAGCGGAAGCTGTCCATCTGCTCTCGGCTGGAGCTGGAATTCAGGTCCCACCACAGCCGGGACTGGGTGGGCAGAGGGTGACAACGTGGGAAAGGAAAGCAGAGGAAGAGCATGTTGAATCACGCTCACCTAGGGCTTGTTGTTCTAGGTTGTGTGAAGTGCCTACTGTGTACATTCTAGGTTGTGTGAGAGTGCCTGCTGTATACGTCCTAGGTTGTGTATTTGGTATCCCATTTTGCATATAAAGTAATGAGAGCCAGGATGGAGGAGTTCCGGGCTGGTGAGGGGAGAATCGGAGGCCTTCGGCTGGGGCCAGTTCTGAGCAGGCAGTGAGGTGACCTGGGTCCACTCACTGGGAATCCCTACAGCGGCTCTGTGGCTCCTTTGTTGCTACCCTGAGGACTGGCACCGCCCCCTGATCACTGACTGCAGGGGAAAACAGAACAGTGAGTAAGGACACCACACTAGGGTTTCGCAGACTTCCTGGAGGGTGTGACAGAGGATCCCAGGGAGGAGGGTGCAGCAGCAGAGCCTGCACTGCGGGAGGCAGCCAGCTCAAAGATGGCCACATCCTAGCACGCAGGGTACAGCTGGACAGGGGAGCTGATCCCACTCCTCAGGTATTTGAGAGAGGACATATGTGCATGAGGGAGGCCAGCCAGGAGTTAGCCCTGAGACCCCAGGTTCCTTCCCATCGAGGCCACAGCCCCAAAGGATCCTGATCATGAGCCAGAGCTAGAAGGTGGGGCTGTGATTCTGGCTGGAATGTGGACCAAGAGGCCAGGGAGCATGTGCAGAGTCTGGCTGCAAATGCAGGGCCGGTGGAGCACACTGCGAGGGCATCCAGGAAGGGAGCGGCAAGCCTGCCCTAGGCGGTGGCAAGGGGGCTTCATGCTCACCTGCCTCTCACCCCCATCCAGCTCACGGCGCCCACAACATGGCACCGCCACCACGCCCTGAGCGCCCTGAACCTGCACAGCCACCTTGAAGAGGTCACCTCTGCTCTGTGCCATCCAGGGACCATCTGAGCTAGGTGGAATAGTGTCTCCTAAGCTTCAGATCTCTCACGACTTCTGAATGTGACCTGATTTGAAAGTAGGGTCTTTACAGGGATCTAGCTGAGAAGTCAGCTGGGTGGGAGTGGGCTAAAAGTCCACTGCAGTCTTCTGTGGTCTGGATTTTTAGATTCCCCTGAAGACTATGCTTAAGGTTGGTCTGCTGGCTTGTGGCTATGAGCTAACTGAAACTTCAGGAGGAGGCCTAGGGAAGGAAGTTTAGTTAGGTCACACGGAGTGTCCCCTGTGGGAGCTAGTAAGTCAGGTTCTATCTGTCTGTCTGTGCCTGTCTGTCTGGGTCTCTACCTCTCTGTGTATATGTCTCTTTGTCTATTTGTCTCTCTCTGCTTTCCCAGCTGCTGCACGAGACGCTCTGCCTCATCACAAACCTGAAGCGATGGGTCTGAGCCACTGTGACGGAAACCTCTGAACTGTGAACACAAACTTTTTCCCTTTAACTTGATGATCTCAGGGAAACCACCTGACACACCTTCTAAGCCGGTGGTTCTCAACCTGTGGGTCGCAGCCCCTGTGGCAGACCTCCATCTCCAAAAATAGTTACAATTCTTAACAGTAGCGAATTACAGTTACGAAATAGCAATGGAAATAACTTTATGGTTGGGTCAGGACAACACAAGGAACTGTACTAGAGGGTCTCAGCTTTAGGAAAGCTGAGAAGCAATGCAAGGGGACCTGGAGAGCTCTGCCTGACAAGGAGGTGGAGCCTGGAGAGACACAGCTGCAAGCCAAGGACTGCTGGGAAAGCAAAGCTGGAGCCATAGGAAAGGTTCCCCCAAAGCCACAGCTCCCAGACCCGTGAGGGAGTGGGCTTCCTGCCTGAAATGCTCCATGTATCAATTCTGCTCTATGCCAATAAGGTTCCTGGAGGCAGCTTGGCCAAGATGATGTGTTGAGCTGAACACAGCAGAGGGCAGAGGGTGTTGGGTGGTGGAGAGTGGGGAGGGGCGGGAGCACGTACCTCGGTGGAGCTGAGGAGGCTGCGGTCGCTGTCATCGGGCGGCGGTGGACACACGGCATGCATCCGCACAAGCCTCTGCTTCCCCCGAAGGCAGAGTTCCCTGGCTCCCGCTTCCTGCTTGGGCTTCCAAAGAGGCCAGAGGGCTCCTTAGGGCATGCAACTTCCCTCTGGGTCCCCACCCCCAGCCACCCACCCCTGCTTGGACAGGTTCCCTCTCAGCTTCTGGGTGAAATCCCAGTAGTTACCCACCAAGGAGATGAGGGCCACCTGGCTTGAGAAAATGCCGTTCAGTCTTTCTCGAGAATCTAGAGAATGTTTGTTGCCTGCTGTTGTTTGCCAGTTTTAAGGATAATAAGACTGAACACAGCTCAGTGGTGAAGAGCATCAACTATTCTTGCAGAGGACCAGGTTCTGTGCCCGACACCACACAGCTGCTCACAACCATCTGTAACTCCAGTTCCAAGGGTTTTGACGCCCTCTTCTGGCCTCCACAGGTACTGTGTGTACATGGTGCACATCCGTGTGCCCAGACACACACACACACACACACACACCCATAAAAATAAAATAGATTATGTATATGCAGTTAGCATTTCCATGTCTGCCCTCCCAGCCTTCTTTCTGTGTGTGGATACACACACACACACACACACACACACAATACGTCTATGTTCACTCATCTATGCATATATAGACACACATATTATCAAGTAGCACGTGTAGATTGTGTTTACTTTGTGTGTGTGTGCATGTGTGTGCGAGTGTGTGCGCGTGTGAACACACATGCCAACACGCCTGTGGAAGTCAGAGGGCAGCTTGCAGGGGCTGGTTCTCCCCCTCTCGCGTGTGGGTCACGGGGTTGAACTCGGGTTGTCGGACTTGGTGACACGTCACCTTGCTAGCATGTGCATGTATGTGTGTCACAAGCGGGGCCTGGTGGCTCAGGCCTGCGCATTCAGCCACTCGGGGGACTGAGGAAGCAGACAGACAAGTTCAAGGCTAGACTGGGCAACGTGAGTCCATTCCAAAAGTAAAAGTTTCTTAAATGGTTGGGGGAGGATGAGGGCCATGTATGATTTAGCCACAGATTACTTGCTGAGCATGAGTGTGGCTCAAGAGCCCCCCCACACACACGCAGGAAGGGGTGGGACTAGGAAGAGTCTGCCTGTGCCTCCCACCCAGACCTCGGGTACTTACACAGACTTGCCCACCCGGGTACCTGACCCGTGTTGCCCATGGGACCAAACAGGCGTGGTGACACTCACAGCTCTTGACCGTGCTGGGCCCTCACCTTAGCACCTGTGCCACTCTGCCCCTGGGCTTTTGACTTTGGGAAAATCATTTCTACAAAGTGGATATTCTGACAGCCTCCTCTGCCACGACACACTCAGATTTGCTGGTTCTAGAACCCCTCCTCGCCAAGCTTCCCTTTCTGTAACCCAGTATGTCAACTTGACAATATGCTGAAGCAGGCCGGTCCTGGCCCGTGTGCTCACAGCTCTGTGGAGCTCTGCGTGGGCTCTGCCCCATCTTCCGGCTCAGTTAACATCTGTGCTTCCCCATCACCCATGCAGCCCCTGGCCCGGCCTCCCCTCCTGGGCTGCGTACTCACCCCTCCCGGGGGCTCTGCCTGCAGCTTGCGCAGCTGAGTCCTCAGCTCGCAGAGCTGCTCCGTCAGCTCGAACACCGTCCTGCGCAGGGCATCCTTCTCCACCAGGCGCTGAGAAATCTCCATCTGGGCCCTGTCCCTGGCTGCGTATGCCTGGAGCCAAGACGGGGAGACAGGGCCAGTGGTGGAGGGGTGGTTACTGGTGGGACACTGAACCAGGCCTCTGAGCTGCAAAAGGCACCCTCATGCTGCGTGCACATCCTGCGCCCTCGGCCAGGTTTGCGCTAATCAGGGCTCACACTGCATGCGAACCTTCTCTGTGTTAAGAAAACCCGTATCCGGGGTGCAGTCTACATCTTGTGGCAGGAACAAAGGCGGGGAGGGCGAGAGAGAGCCTGCGTCAGTGCGCTGCACGGAAGTTAGGGGCCTATGGACGGGGGAAAGGAACCCTGAGCCTCTCCCTGGCCCCACCGCACTCCAGCAGGGCGCAGTGTGGATGGGGGCGTCCTCCTGCTCCCTGCCCTCGAGGCAGCCACCTGTACCTCCCCTCCCAGCCTGTCCCCCAGGGCTGAGGGTACCTGGTCACGTTCCTTCTGCAGCTCAGCCACCTGGCCCTGTAGCGTGGTCATCTTTTCTCTGTACAGCTCGCAGTCCACCTGGGTCTTCCGGAACTGGAGCAGGGTCTGTTCTTTCTCCTCCCAGTACTGTGCAGTGGGGACACAGCCATGGGTTCACTGGTCTGAAGGCTTGGGTGGGAAGGGGTGAGTGGGGAGACGGGGGAAGGGAGACAGGAGCCTGGGGTGGGGAAGTGAGGTGAATTCATATTCTCTCCACTGGGACAGGTTTAGAGGTCTGACTTCAGAGCCCCGGAGCCATTCATGCTGGATTTACTCAGCAGTTGTGAATACACGTGTGAGGAATCACACCTGCTTAATGGCCCTAAATAAGCAAGCGATTTCCCCTGCCTCACTCTCTCCCTCTGCTGCCTTCTTCTCTGTCCATCCTCCTTTGTCTAAATCCTGGGATGTCATGGTCCCTAAGCCTTTGACACGAGCTGAGGCTTCCTCCATTGATCCCTTGCCATGAGGTCCAGGCTACGGCTTAACATACGCAAAGTTAAACTGTGCTGATGATTGAACGAATCTGTGGGCCCCAAAAACGAGCCTGCCCAGGATGGAGGGAGGGTCGCAACCCCAAGGAAGGGGCTGTGCTGTCACCTGCTTCTGCTGCCTCTCTGCGGCCACCGCTCGCTCCCGCAGCGAGTGGATGCGGTCCACCAGGTCTTGCTTGCTCTCCCGGGCCTCATCCAGGCTCTGCTCCAGAATGTCCTTCTCCACCTGGTGCAAAACGAGGTCAGCCAACCTCCCCAGCACCCTACCGGGGAAACTGAGCCCCAAGAAAACGGCACAGGAAAGCCCAAGGCCGGGCATGTGTTAGGTAGTGTGGCCTCATTACTGCAGCTGCTGGTCTGAGGCAAGCATAGGCTGCAGAATGCGTTCAGGCTAACTTAGGCTTCTTAGACACTGACTCAAAAAAAGAGTGTGAAATGAGGGCCATGGGTGCATTTTGGTGTGAGAGTGCATAGCATATGTGGCGCCCTTGGTTTGGTGCCCAGAAACAAACACACACACGCACGCCCACACACGTACACCTGTATACACACATATACTCACACAGGAACACATGCACGCCAGTCATAAATGAGAAGATAGGCATTTTGGTTCTAACTGGTTGAGGAGACAGAACCCCTCAAGCGACAATTCCTCTTTAGGATCATTCAGCCTTCTTCAACTGCTCCACCAGCAGAGCTTGAAGACAAAGGACGGTCCTTCTCGTGCTTCATTCCCCAGAGGAGCCTGTGAGCGACACACAGTCCGGCCCAGGCTGCAGTGAGCCGTGTCATATCCCCAAGGAGGGTATACTGAGGGAATTTCTTATAAGAAATGTATGTGTTCCATGTGAGTGCAATGCCTTCAGAGGCCAGAGGGAGCACCAGAACACCCGGAACTGAAGTTAGAGATAGCTGTGAGCTGCCGTGTGTGTGTGTGTGTGTGTGTGTGTGTGTGTGTGTGTGTGTGTGTGCTGGGAAGTGAACCTAGGTCAACTGCAAGAGCAGCAGATGTTCTTAGCTGCTGAACCGTCTCTCCAGGACTGTTCCCCCAGTAAAAGTTTTAATTAAAAGAACTCAGAGGGGGCTGGAGAGATGGCTCAGTGGTTAAGAGCACTGGCTGCTTCTCTAGAGGACCCAGGTTCAATTCCCAGCACCCGAATTGCAGTTCACAACTGGCTGTAACTCCAGTGCCAGGAGCTGCATGGCACTAGGCAAGCCTGTGTGCACATTTCTGGGTGTGCAGGCAGATACCCATCCACATACGATAAAATAATAACTCTTTAAAAAAATCAGAGGGGACCAGGTGCGGTGGCACACGCCTGTAATCCCAGCAGAGGCAGAGGCAGGTGGATCTCTGAGTTCGAGGCCAGGCTCTAACTCAGAGTGAGTTCCAGGACAGCCAGGGCTACACAGAGAAACCCTGTCTTGAAAAATCAAAAAAGAAAAGAAAGAAAAAGGAATCAAGGTGATTAAGTAAAGTGTTTGCCGAGTTCCAGAGCTTCCATGTCCCCAGCTCCCAGGCTCCAGGAAGTCTGCTCCCCTGAGCCGTGGTGAGCCAGATGCAGAAAGTGTGATGGGCGGGACGGATTGTATTTTCCACATCCCGATAGCTCATCCAGCCTGTTTTAACTTAGCCACGGTATCGCCTGCCTCAGGCTCCCATTCTGGGCTTGCAGGCTTGCACCCCGCAGCCGGCAGGCTTGCACCCCGCAGCCGGCAGACCCCACAGTCACAGGGGCCCTTCCTATTGCAGAACAATGCGGTCACAGTGAATTAACCCTCATGATGAGCTAATATAGAGACGAGGCCTTTGTTTTTGTTTTGTTTTGTGTTTTTGGTTTTTCGGGACAATGTTTCTCTGTGTAGCCAGCCTGACCTCAAGCTCACAGAGATCCACCTGCCTCTGGCTCCCGAGTGCTGAGATTAAAAGTGTGTGCCACCACCACCTTGGCGGGGACAAGGTTTATAGTGCTGTCACCATCTGAGTGGGTGGGAAGAGAGGCAGGAAGGAACACGGGGGATCACATAACCTGCTCTGGTGGTACAGGTATACCATACCACGATACTGAGGCAGGAGGATCATGAGTTCAAGGCCTGCCTAAGACATAGAGAAGGGGTTGGCATGAGCCCATAGGTACCCGCTGACACTAAGGACATGGCCTTCCCAGATCAGCAGGAGACGCCTGGCCTCCTGAGGGACCAAGGCCTACCAGGCTGAAGGTCATGGAGCGCAGCTTTTCATTTTCCTCCTTAAGGCGGTTCAGTTCCGCTCCCTCAGACTCCAGGTCGCTGACCATCTTCAGGGATCTCTCTCGAGATTCCCGTTCACACGAGGACACGAGGCTTGCCCGCTGTAGCTCCTGCTTCACCAGGTAGAGCTGTGTGGGAGAAAGCGGAGGAGGGTGGTGGGGAAGGTCTCTCCGGCCAGCACTGCGAGCTGCAGCTTGCCCACCCGCCCTGCTGATGCTGGTTGCCTGTGGAGGGCCTCAGCCCTGAGCTCCAAAGGCACCAGGCACGGGTTCACCTCCTGGGCAGCCCCGCAGCCTCCTGGGAAGAAGTGGCATGTGAGAGCATTTACTTTATTTTAAATTGCATATGTGTGTATCTGTGTGTGAGCGTGCACATGTGTGTGCTGGTGCCTGCAGAGGCCAGAGGTGTTAGATGCCCCCGAGCTGGAGTTAAAAGCTTCCCCGTGTGGGTTCCGGGACTTGACTTGGATCCTCTGGGAAAACACTGTGACGGTTTGAATGGTCAATGTCCCCTTTGGCTTGGTACCCAGGGGGGGTCTATCTGTGCCTGGGAGGCGCGGGGCACGCTGGGCTTGCCTTGTAGGCATTAGGGCAGGCTTTGAGCGTGTACACCTTGCCCACTCTCACTTTCCTCTTCATTTATAGTAGAGGCTATGATCTGTCTGCTTCCTCCTCTGGCCACCATGCCTGTCTGCTGCCATCACTCCCTGCCACGACAGACTCTTATTCCTCTGGAACCACAAGCCCAGACAAATCCCTCTTGTGTTTCTTTTAGCCATGTTTTATCGCAGCAACAGAAAAGTAACTAATACAGACTGAACCTCTCATCAGACAAAGGCGTGCTAGCTTTATTTTGCTTCGGATGAGATACAGTGCTTAGCGCTGGAGAGATGGCTCTAGGGTAAGAGCCCTGGCTGCTCTTCCAAAGGTCTTGAGCTCAACTCCCAGCAACCACATGGCAGCTCACAACCATAATGAGATCTGGTGCCCTCTTCAGGTATGTAGCCACACATACAAGCAGAACACTGTACAGATAAAAGAGAAAGAGACTAATGGCTTGGGTCCCTTGGAGCAGACCATGGCAGACCATGGCACCCGGTACCAGCTCCCATCTCTACAGTTAGTTAGACTGATGGCCACCAGCACCCCTGTTTTCTCTGCCATCTTGTGCTCTGCTAACCCCTCTGATGGGGAGAATGTGGGATCATAAGGGTGGGTTAACAACAATGCACCAGCAAGGTCAGGCCAGTGAGGGCTAGGGAAGCTGAGGTTCACAGGGACTGGGTCCGTTGCCAAGCAGTTTCCTGGGGTAACCTGTGGGGTCCAGGGCTCCGTGTGTGTCCAGGGTCCCGAGCCTCCAAACTACCCAGCCAGATCAAGCTGGCCTCTTCTTTTCGTCAGAGGCCCAAGAGGAACTTGGATCTCAGAGATGTCCCCCAACGTTGTCAAGCACCCCGGAAGGAAGCACCCCATAAGGCAAACCCAGGAGGTCTGCAGGGCGTGTGGAGTGGGCTCCCCAGATGCGGTCCCCTACTTGGATTCTCCCATTAGCTGGCTAGCGAGTCCTCGGGTGGGTACCTCCTCCTGCAGGCTGTGGCAGCGCGTTGCGGCCAGCTCCTTCTCTCGAAGCGCGTTGCTGTAGTGCAGGGACAGCGTCAGCATCTCATCCTTCAGCTTCAGGACCTCGTGGAAGTGCACGCTCACCTCTCGCTTCATGCGGCTGTGGTCGGCCTCTAGCTGACGCAGACCCTCTGCCCGGGCCTCAGCGGCGCCCAGGCGCTCCTTCAGCTGCTGGTATCTCCGAAGCAGCGCCTCCTTCTGCGCCTTCTCCTGGGCCAGCTCCTCCTGCAGGCTGCTGATGGCCCCAGCCAGACACTCAGTCAGCTTGGACGTTTCCATGAGACCTACAGGTGGGTGATCATTCTCTCTGTCACCTTGCCCTCCTGTACTCAGTCCCCAGGGTCTTGTACCCCATGACCAGACCCTTGTAAGCCTACAGGCCTACTCTGTTGGTCTCTTTAAAAACCTCCTGCTTTTGAGGGACTCCATATTTTCATCATGATTTGGACTGCCCTTCTAGGCTTTCCTGTGAGACCCTACCATTTTCATCCAGCTTCCCTTATGAGCTGATTGTACCCAAAGCTAGCAATTTCCATGGGACCCCAAGAAAACTCAGCAGAGACATAAATCTGCCTGACAGAACACACAAACCAGAGCAGATGTCTGACTAGCTGCTGTTTTGAGTTCCCTGAGAGTCCTGTTCTTTTAACAACCAAATCTTTCAACAGCTCCCTGGGAAAGGCCAGAGTCCATCAGCTCCTGAATGTGACTGCATGTCCCACCATGCGGGTAAGCCTTCAGGGCATGACTGTGCTCTCCTGCAGAAGTCCCCCCACTCCAGGGAAGAGAGACACTAGGCGTCCCCTTAGGCAGCATGAAAGGCAGCCCTTTATGTCTTGAGTGCATGGCGGGCCCCTAGAGTCTCCTCAAGGTGCGGGGAGGGGGGCCTTGCAGCCCCCAAAGTCCAGGGCCTTCTTCTTCCCATTGCACTGAGTGGGGAGAGCGCCCTGCCCAGGGCCAAACAGCCCGCTTAGAGGGAACGACCTTCGAGCCAGCTCTCACCGCTGAAGGTGCCAAAGTCAATATCAGGCTGCAGCCCAGTGACCAGAGTGTAGACATCAGGGTTGTGGAACTTCAGGCTTTCCAGAAAGGCGACGGCACCGTTCTTCCCTCTGGCCTTCAGCAGATCCAGCAAGTGTCCTTGAGGCAGAGAGAGGGAGAGAGAGCGCCTGAACCAGTGGATGTGGACATGGACAGCTTTGTACACCTCGGGGTTGGAGTCCTCTGGGACCCCTGCTTGGAGGTGCCCCTTTACTGTCCTTGCAGGCTTTATTCATGTGTCATCAACTCGAAGAGGCAGGAGCCATAGTTGGACCCTTACTAGGGGCAAGAAAATGTTCTTCCGTGAGCTGGGAACAGAGGGACAGGTGCAGACATGGTCTTACAGTGCTGTGTTCTCTCTCTCTCTCTCTCGTGTGTGTGTGCAGGTGCGTGTGTGTGTGTGTGTGTGTGTGCGTGTGCGTGTGTGTAAAACACCAGCCTTTTACAGATCAGTCTAGCTTGAGATCCACACACTTGCATTATGACAGCAGTGACTGCCACCGACACCTGGCCTCGACAGCCTGCATTTGCAGTGGCATTTTGTCAGCAGTCCAGCTTGACCCACCAGCCTTCAGGGGCGAAGTCACGTCCAGGTGAGGAAATACCGCCCGCCAGACCAGAAGAACAAATTCCAAAGATATCCCCAAAAGATACATCACCCCCCAAAGTCTATCCGTGCTGGATGCTTTTTGTCAACTCGGTACACTAGGGACCTCAGGGAAGAGGGATCTCGTTTGAGGAACTGTCTCCATTACCGGCCTGTGGGCAAGCCTGGGGGGTGTTCTCTTGGTTAATGACAGATGTAGAAGGGCCGAGAGCTCTGTGGATGGGCCACCACTGGGGTGTATAAGAAAACTGAGCAAACCAAGGGGAGCAAGCTAGCGAGTAGCATTGCTCCTCGGCCTCTGCTTCAGTTCCTGCCTCTACCTCCCTCAGTGATAGACTGTGGTTGAGACATGTAAGCACACAACAAACCCTCTCCTTCCCAAGCTGCTTTTCCTCGTGATATTTATCAGAGCAATAGAGAGCAAAGATGGTGCCTGTGTGAATCTTTTCCCTTTGGACAAAGGAGCTTCGTAGGGGTAATTAAGTGAAAGATCTCAGGGAGAGATCCTGAGGCTGCACTCCGTGGTGGTGTTTGCACAGCAGGCGCAAAGTCCCTTGTTCAGGCCCCGGGACTACATAAACAAGGAGTGCCGGCACACACCTGTCATCCTATCGCTTGGCAAGTAGAGGTGACAAACTGAAAACTCAAAGCCATCCTTGGCGACATCGTAAGTGTACACAAGATAGTGTCTCAATCAAAGACATAAACTTAAAAATTAAAAGAAGAAGAGGACACAGTGGGCCATATTCCAATTACAAGTGTGCTCACAAGAAGAGGGAAACGTGGAAAGGGGCATTATGAAGGAGGAGGGACAGATGGAGTGACAGGACCACATGCCAAAGCTTTCCCAGAACCTTCTAGAGCCAAAAGGCAAGAAGAGTCCCTGTGGAGCCTGCGGTGGGATTGCAGCCCTGTTCACACCAGCACACATAAGACTTCCTGGCTGCAGAACTGAGAGAACAGAGCCCGTGGGGCTTCTTTCCCTTGGTGCCTGGACGGATGTCAGGGCCTTGTACATGCTGAGTGTGTTCTACCACTGAGCTACACCCCAGTCTTCCCTTGAGCCACATTGTTTATAGCTATTTGCTGGGGCTTTGTTAGGGGACTGACTCAGTGTCCTAACAGTGAGAACCTTGGTTCCCTTGATGCTTTGTTACGGAGGTTGTTTTGAGATAGGGCCTCATACAGCCCAGGCTCCCTAGAACTTCTTGATGCAGAGCTGAAGATGGCCTTAAACTTCTGATCCTCCTGCTTCCACCTCCCAAGTTCTGGGGTACAGCTGCACCCCGTGATGCCTGAGTTACAACTTCCCCTGCGATGCCCAGGTTACAGCTGCACCGGTGATGCCAGGGTTACAGGTGCATCCTTGATGCCCAGGTTACAGGTGCACTCGAGATGCCCACCCGGGTTACAGCCACACCTGTGATGCCCACCCGGGTTACAGGTGCACCTCGATGCCCAGGTTACAGGTGCACTCGAGATGCCCACCTGGGTTACAGGTGCTCCTCGATGCCTCCCCGGGTTACAGGTGCTCCTTGATACCCACCTGGGTTACAGGTGCACGCAAGATGTCCACCTGGGTTACAGGTGCACCCCTGACGCCTGGTAGACGAGGTACTGGGGATCTAGCTCTGTGCTGTGTGTACGCTGCAAAGGCTTCCACCAACAGAGCTACCTTCCCTCCTCCCTTTTCTTGATAGGGTCTCACAGTGTAGTCCAGGCTGGCTTTGAACTTGTGGCAATCCTCCTGCCTCAGTCGCTTGTGATGTTGGGATGATAGGCATGGTCACTATTGGTGTAGACCCCCCCCCCATTGTTATGCTACAAGCCTTGCTGAGCTGCTGGGCAGGGCTCAGGGAGAGGCTAGTGGACTCACCGACTCTCATGGCACTGTTGGTGAAGCGGGGGCTGTGGAGGACCTCCTCCTCATCCAGCTGGCCCAGCACCTTGGCCTGACGCAGGTAGGGGGTGAGGCGGCTGGGGCAGATGCTCTGCACGATCTTGCAGCGGTGACCCTCCAGCAGGTCCCAGAGCGTCTCCTCATCCAGGGCAGTCAGCGTGGAGTCCATGCGGCACAGCTCTGCCATGCCTGGACGCTGAGAGGACGGGACGGATAGGGTGCAATCCAACACCGGCCCGGCTTTCCCTGGTGTTAGCAAACTACATTTGCCAATTGCTGTTCATGGCCCAGGGACTTCATCAATCAGAGAAGATGGAATGAAAATCAGTCAGGGGGCTGGACGTGGTGACATACACCTGTAATCCCAGCACTCTGGGAGGCAGAGGCAGGTGGATCTCTGTGAGTTGGGGGCCAGCCTGGTCTACAGAGTGAGTCCAGGACAGCCAAGGCTACACAGAGGAACGCTATCTCAACAACCCTCCAGCCCTCAGAAAGAAAGTGATGGCTGGAGCATCCTGTCCACTGGGACAGCTAATCGTGCTCATCCTTCATGCATGTCTGTGAGAGTGTTTCTGGGGAGGTCTAGCTGAGGAGGGAAGACTTGCCCTGAATGTGGGTGGCACCATGGCTGTGGGCTGAGACTGCGTGAGGAAGAGGAAGCCAACTGGACAGCAGCCATGCACCTCTCTGCTTCCTGTCTCTGGATGTCCAGCTCATGTCCCTGCTGTCACGCCTTCCACACAGTGAGAGCCTGATTCCCCGAACCATGAGCCCAAATGACCTGTCTCCTCACAGCAACAAGAGGGACAGCTAACAAACCGTGCCGGGACCATGGCTCCAGCAAGTTGCTCACCTGAGGGGCCCAGACTTGCTTCTGCAGAGCCTCCGTGTAGCTGGCCAGAGCCTGATGAGTCCCAGCCTGTCTGCTGAGCTGCAGATGGCTGTAGTGGGGCAGGGCCAGGCAGGGAGGGCTGTGAAGTCACGTCAAACCACGTGACCTGCTCCAAAACTCAAAGTCCGAGCAGCACCAAAGACTACAGCAGGCAGGAAGAGAAACAATAAGAGATTGAGTTCAGAAATTGCTGCAGACGCCTCTGACCCACGACTTTCTCAGCTGCTTAGAGGAAGCAGGTTCCAGGTGGAGCCTGAGCTTGGAACTCCAGGACACAGGGAGGGCAGGTATCATCGTCACCCAGTGTTCACAGGCCACTCAGTGACAGGGCTCCGTGAACACCCTCCCTGAGCTTCCTCACACAGAGAGAACTCTGGAGAGCCTGTGGGCAGGCCAGAGCCGTCACAAGGAAGATCATGTGGGGATGAGCACAGAGCAGTCATGGGCGCCACCAGCTCTCTCCTGCTGTCCTGTTGACAGCTGACCCAGGCTTGCGAAGTAAAGCGTTGCGGTCATGTCCCCAAGGGACCTGTGAGTGTGAGCTTGTTGGAAGCAGTTTTCACTGATGGAGCTGGTGAGCTCTCTCTCTACAGTGACTGGTGTCCTTTCAAGAAGGGGAGGAGAGGCACTGACCCAGGAAGAGGGACGTGAGCCTCGGGGTGCCAAGCATCACAGGCACATCTGGAGCTCAGAGGACAGGAGCGCCTGCAGTTTGGAGCCACTCTCTCCACCATACTAGACACACAGGGCAAAGAGGTTTGGAATGGCCCAGGCCTGCCCTCTGTCATCTTGCCAGTCATGTACACATCCCAAAGGGCAGTGTTTACCTCCACACCAGGACAGGGTCAGGTGTGGCCTGCAGAGCCCGGTGAGGAGTGAAAATAAAGCCAGGCTTGGTGGCATCTTTTGTTTTCTTTTGGTTTTTTGAGACAGGGTTTCTCTGTGTGACCCTGGCTGCCCTGGAACTCACCCTGTAGACCAGGCTGGCCTCAAACTCATAGAGCAACACCTGCCTCTGACTCCCGTGTGCTATGATTAAAGGAATAAAGTACAATGGCCCAGCTTCGGTGGCATCTTTCATCCCAGAGTTTAGGAGAAGGTAGATCTCTGTGAGTTCAAGGCCAGCCTGGTCTGCAGAGCCAGTTCCAGGAGAGCCAGGGTTACACAGAGAAACCCTGTCTTGAAAAACTAGGAGAGAGAGAGAGAAAGATATCTCAGAGTTACTGATGACCTTATGCTGATCAGGCTCGAGTCTCTCACCTCCAGTCCCTGACAGGGTCCAGGAAGAGGGTGGGGCTTGAGGAGCTCCCTACATGATCTGTCTTACCAGCCTGAAGCTAGGGCTTACTCTGTGTATGGGGCGACAGCAGCCTTTCTCCGTTGTGCACACTTCTGTCCCCTTCTTCTCTTCCTGCCCTCCCGTCCTCCATCTTCCCCCTCCCCGCCACCTCCCCTTCCTCTTCCTTCCTCCACCCTCTTTCTCTTCTTTTCCTAGACAGGGTCTTCATCAGTCTGGCCCTTGACTGTTAGGAGCTCCCACCCACGCTTGGTTCCTTTTGCGCCAGTGCCTGACTTCTGCCCTAGTAGTGGCCCTGTATGCCTGTCCTCAGAACACGGGGTGCCAGCCTCTTCATTCTCATCCCTGCCTCCTCACGGCAGAGTCTCAGAAGCCGTCACCGGACAAGTGACCTCCAGGACCGCTCTCACTGCACCACCTTACCCCTCTTACAGGTCATGGACATGGGTGAACACGGCTACCTCCCGTGTTAAATAGGACACGTGGGACCAGGAGAAATGATGACAGCACAGGGTGGGACGGACCCTGAAAGCTCTCTACCTGGACCTTTCCAAGTCGAACCCCAAATAGCTGTAAAACCATTTAAAAGGTTGGGGGCCAAGTTAGCTCAGCTGGCAAAGGCACCTGACACAAAGCCTGACACCCCGAGTTCAATCCCTGAGACCCACATGGTGAGAGAGGACTGTCCAGAGGCTATCCCCTCTCTCCACCAGAGCCGCTCTCCCCAATAAACAACTACATAGATAAATGGGGGGGGAGAGCAGCCACAAAATCAGGAAAAGGGAAACAACCTGGGAGAAGGCTTTGGGTGTGACCAGCAGCGCTGACGCCAGCCCAGTGCCAGGACGGAAGGGTCCCAGGGCAGAGGGGGCTGGGCTGCTGTCCTCTGGCCCCCTGCACACACAGAGAGGAGCACAGATGCCTCACCTCCCTGCAGGGTCCCTCAGCTCTGAGAGCAGGTGTCCCCCTAACGTGCTGGTGTCTCGAGGGTGGAAGCAGGCCGGAGGGCAGCAGACGCTGGCCACGGTGGGGAGAGTTGTGGAAGAGTCACAGGAAAGGAGACGGCTGCCCAGCCTCCGTCAGGAAGGTGTCACTGTCGGGACAAGGTTCCTTCCCTTCCCACGCAGTACAGAAGGCAGTGCTTCCCCAGGTATGTCCAGAGACACCCACTTAAACACGGAGCCTGGCCCCGTCTGAGCTGTACAGAGTAGGCGGCCCAGCATGGTGACCTTTCCCTGGCAGAATCAACAGCCCTGCGATTATGTTGGTACCAAGTGGCCGATACCAAGGGCTTGTGGTATGCTAACTTATTTGTAACAAATCACACTTATGTCGTTCCCCCAAACATCACTACATCGGGACTCAGGATGCCAGCTAATGCCATCAGCCACACTCTAGCCTGCAGCGGAAACTCAGGGGCCCTGAACACCTCGGCTTCCAGTAGGTCGTGAGGCCCAGGCTGGGGGAAGGGTGCTGAGAACTTCTGGAGCCTCCCAGGACTGGGTCCCGGAGGACACAGCTCTGGGAGCCTTAGCTAGTGTGGCTGTTCCTGCCTCCTCTCCCCTGGTGTAGGTCCTACCCTGGAGCTGACCCTGCTACTGTTGAGGTGAACTGGAAAGTCGGGGATTTCCACATCCAGCTCTGCCCCAGGCCTCAGGAGCCCAAACCAGTCCAGGATGAGGGTGAAAGTGCATGCAGACAGCAGTCCCTCAGGGTCACTCTGGGGGGCCAGAGCTTGAGAGGCAGAGGCTGCAGGAGTGGGAGTTCTAAGCCAGCCTGGGCAACACAGTGAGAGTGAGGCCAGCCTGGGCAACACAGCAAGTGAGAGGCCAGCCTGGGCTACGTGAGACCCTGTCGCAAAACAAAAATGAAAGCACAGCACAACGAAAACCCAAATCAGGAAAGCATTGCTTGGGGCTGGGGTGTACCTCAGTGGTAGAGCACTTACCATTTGTACCTGAGCACGCGCGCTCTCGCGCACACACACACACACACACACACAGTAGATAGGCTGGGTGTGTCCCAGCTACTTGGGAAGCACCCACAAGTCTAAGAGTTGAAGGCAGAGGACACTGGGTCTCAGAAAACAGACAGTGGCACTTGTGTATAAGGTCAGACGGGGGCGTCCTTGTGAGAAAGGAGCTCTGCCCCGGCCCTGGCACCCTCGCAGCAGCCTTAGCTCTCTACAGCCTTCTCCCCCCGCCCGACACTAGTGCAGCCTGCATGCAAGCCGCCTCCTCGTCAGCCTGGTAGGAGAGCACACACACACACACACACACACACACACACACACACACCACATTCTCTTCCTCTCGCTCACACACACCCCCACATTCTCTCTCTCATGCACACACTCGCCCCCACATACACCACACATGGAAGGTTAGAAGAGGTGGCCGACAAGCGCAGTAGCCGAGGACAGGGTCACCAACCAAAGAGGGGAGGACGGGCCTTTATAGTCCTCTGCTTCAAGCCAGTCCCTCAGTCCAGGAACACCCATGTGAACTGTCCCACCGAAGACAGGCCTAGCTCACATACCCTCCCTCCAGACCCCGCTTTCTCCAGGAGGTGTGGCTGTGAATCCTGGCGTTCGGCTCAGCTGTCCAGCCCCTGTGGCTCCCTGAGGGGAGTGTTCAGGACTTTCATCAAGCACAGTGAGATAAGCTGCTCCCTCAGCTTTAGAACGGCTGGCGCCCCATCCTGACCTGCCCATTGTCATGTCCATGGTCCCTCTGGCCTCAGAATGGCTGGCACCCCATCCTGACCTGCCCATTGCTATGTCCACGGTCCCTCTGGCCTCAGAATGGCTGGCGCCCCATCCCGACCTGCCCATTGTCCTGACCTGTCCACGGTCCCTCTGGCATGCTGATTGGTTCTGGCAGGACCGACTGCATTTGTCTTCCTGTCCTGTAGCAGTGATAGACGGAGGCTCCGGCCCAGGCTGGGCAGCACTGAGGAGCAGGTTTGACAGGTCACAGTCTTCTGGGCTCTGCCCACGGGAGCAGGGTTACATCCACAGCAGAACGGCCAGCGCGTTCCCTCCTCCCCGGCCGGATTGGCTGCTGTGAGAGTCACCGTCACCTGTTGAGGAATGCCAGGTATCTGCCGCCTCCTCTGCCCCCCCCAACTCTCCCACCCCTCCATACCGCCCCCTCTGCAAAGGCAGAGGGTGTGGTGGAGGCCAGGAGAATCCTCCCTCCTTCCTGAGCAGTCAGCCCAGTTCCTCAGCCTGTACTCTCGGAAAGAACCTAGGGAGGTTAAGATGCCTTAGGGGCCTTCCTGGTTCCATAATCATATAGGAATTATGAAATGACCCCAACAGACCCAGCAAAAGTCACCATTTCATAAGGAGATTTAGGCTGCAGCAGAAGCCTTGGCGCGTCTCTTTCTGGAGTCTGATTCACGTGTTCAGTGTCCCTGGATCCCCAGCCGTAGTCCCCCACTGCTGCATGGCGGCTGTTACACCTGGGCTGCCAGCGCTGGACACAGCAGGCAGTGACACCCCCTAGATCTACACCCAAGCACCCCCTTACTGCGTAGGGGCTCTTAGGCCCCTTCCACCCAGCGCTCAGCACAGCAGGCAGTGACACCTGTGAGACCCAGGCACTCCCTTCCGTGTGCCAGCACTCAAGTCCACAGTGCCAGTCCACAACACTTGTGGGGTCCCTTGGATGGCACACGCCCGTCACCTTCTCCAGCCCCGCACCCCTGTGGCCAAGTCCGTGGCTCCAGGCTCACACCCCACAACAGCCTTTGC